ATATATTTTTGTTAAAAATATTTTTCCTTTACCTCTCTCTGCTGGTACGATAAGGCTGTAAATATACTTTACAGCCTTATGGTAGTATACTCAGATATGTACAGTTATTAATGACCTTAAGGGACACCTCAAACGTCGTCGAAGTTTTTATCAGCTGTAAAGAATAATCTGGAGTAAAATGTACGGCATCTGGTTTTTTTGTTTATTTATATTTGTTACATATAAAATAACAATAATCTTTGAAAATATTTCTCCCCATATTACTCTAGGAGCATTTGAAAAGTCATCTAAATTTCGGAAATTTCATATATTTTTTATCATAATATTTTTATTTGTTACCATTTATAATGAACGGCTATAATGTACAACGGTAATATTTAGTAACATTATGTAAAAAAACAAGTTGCCGTACATTATTCTCTGATCTTACAGCAGTAAGAACTTGGTAAAGCCTGAAATTTCGATAAATATTGAATTACACAAATATTAACTATAATATTTGGACGGCATAATTATAAAACATTATTGTCCGTGTTAAATAATATTTTGAACATGTTGCCGTACATTTTACAATGACCTTAGGGTATATGGGTGTAGGGGTAGGGTTCCGACCCTTGGCTTTCGACCGCTCCGCTGGAAATATGTACGGCGTTTACGGGTAAAGTATCTGTATATGTGTCCAAAAGGAATGACACAAATGACGTACAGTAATAAATGACCTATATTGCTCCTGCAACTGTCGTCGAATTAAAAATTTGCACCGACTTCCGGCACCATCACTTTTGTACGGCACTAGGTTTTTCGACATTTATTTTTAATCATCTATACACTTATAACAAAGCCGTACATTAATAATTAGTCGAAATTCCCCCATTGTACATGAGAAAGTCCATTCACTCACGTACTCACATGTACCGCTCAGAAATGACGGCATAGTGCTCAGAGCTATTTTCAGATATAGTAACAGCCTTCTAAGCGTAATTCACGTTGGGTCATTTCACAGGTATTTTTTGTTCATGGGCTTGTGGTCTAATATGGGGTATGTCAACAGTCATTTTAAATTCCGTTATTAATGTAATAAGCTCTGAATTGTCTATAATTTTTAACAGATGTATCGATTGTGGAGTCTTTCCGGACGAAATGAAATTAAGTAAGATTACACCGTTGTTCAAGGCCGGTAGTGAGTCTGATCCGTCAAACTTCAGACCTGTTTCCGTGCTCCCTGCGTTGAGCAAAGTTTTTGAAAAGATAATGCTAGACCAGCTTTCTTTACATTTTAATAAAAATAAACTCTTACATAATAAACAGTATGGTTTCACTAAGGGTCGCTCCACAATCGATGCCGGTGTGAAGTTGATTTCGGACATATTTAACGCCTGGGAAGAATCATATGATGGAGTCGGCGTCTTTTGTGACCTGTCAAAGGCCTTTGACTGTGTTCATCCTGATATACTCGTTGGAAAGCTTCAACACTATGGCGTTGATGGCAAAGCTTCCAGCCTGATGAATTCATATTTAAAGGGAAGGATCCAAAGAGTTCATGTCAATGGAGTCACCTCTCCGGGTTCGCAGGTATCAATGGGCGTCCCCAAGGATCGATTCTCGGGCCTTTCTTATTTCTGATTTACATAAATGACCTCCCATTCTTTGTCAACGAAGTTCATGAGATGGTATTGTTTGCTGATGACACTTCACTTCTATTTAAAGTGAATAGGAATAACGTATTATTGGACGATGTAAACAATTCTATCTCTCGTATAGTTAACTGGTTTAATGTAAATAACTTATTGCTTAATGAGAATAAAACAAAATGTATTAGATTTACAACTACTAGCGTAAAGCGAGATATTGGTAACCTGAAAATTAAGGACAGTGAACTAAACTTTGTTGACAAAACTGTTTTTCTAGGCATAACAATAGATAGTAAACTCCAATGGGGCCCACACATAGAGACTCTTTCGAATAGGCTGAGCTCTGCAGCATATGCAGTAAAGAAAATCCGACAGTTTACTGATGAGGACACGGCTAAAATTGTGTACCATAGCTACTTTCATAGCGTTATGTCGTACGGCATTTTACTGTGGGGTGCTGCTGCAGAGGTTCAATCCATATTTGTGCTGCAGAAGCGGGCTGTTCGGGGTATTTGTTGTGTTTCTCCGAGGGAGTCGGTACGGAATAAGTTTAAGGAATTAAATATTATGACACTATCTGGTCAATATATTCTTGAAGCCTTGTTGTATGTCCAAAAAAATATAAACGATTTTAAAACAAATGGTGACTTTCACCAGTATAATACGCGAAATAGAACTAATTTGAGTGTACGACCAACCAGGCTCCAAAAGATAAACCACTCCTTATATGGAAATTGTATTCGTTTTTACAACAAGCTCCCAAGCGAAATTAGAGAATTATCACTAAATAAATTCAAAGCCCTCGTTAAACGAAAATTAATCAACAAAGCTTTTTATAAATTTGAGGACTACTTAAATGATCCTAATCCTTGGGATTGAATTGCTCCAGTTCAAACAATTTGTATGACAATACTTGGCGATTAAAAAGAGTGGCGGAAAGTTTCTTGCCAGTTCTTCTTACCCGCTCTACGCCCTTGACTTGCGAACTGGTAGTAAATGTAAATTTATGATTAATTTAACTTGACGATTCAAAAGTGTACTTGGTTACCTACTTGAATAAAGATATTTTGAGTTTGAGTTTGAGTTTGAAAAGAAAGAATTACCAGTTAAAAGTGCTTTGTTGAAATTTAATGTATTTTTAGATCAAAATAATTTAATGCGTATTGGCGGTCGTATTAGTAACTCACAATTTTCATATGATAAAAAACATCCTTTACTATTAATGTCCACACATCGATTAACACAATTAATATTTCAACATGAACATTTGAAACTTATGCATGCTGGGCCACAGTTATTGTTATCCTCAATAAGAGAAGTGTATTGGCCTATCGGTGGTAGAAATTTAGCAAAGACTACTTATAGACGATGTATCAGGTGTACACGCATGAAAGGAAAGATTGAAGCTCCTATTATGGGTAATTTACCCCAGCGTCGAGTAACTCCCGGTAACTATCCTTTTGAGTCTGTTGGCGTGGACTATGCAGGTCCTATTGCTTCTGTTACTCGTCAAGGTCGAGGCTCTCGTATTATCAAAGTTTATATAGTTATATTTGTATGTTTTACGACTAAAGCATTACATCTGGAATTAGTGGGTGATTTGACAAGTAACAGTTTTATTTCTACTTTTCGTCGATTCATTGCTCGTCGGGGTAAACCATTGCACTTATATTCAGATAATGGTACTACATTTGTTGGGGCTTGTAAAGATTTAGCTAATTTCTTAATGCGTAACTCTGACTCTCTTGCCACTGATCTCATCAATGATGGCGTAAATTTTCATTTCATACCTGCTTATTCACCACATTTTGGTGGGATTTGGGAGGCAGCAGTTAAATCTACGAAATACCATTTATTAAGAGTATTAGGGAACTCTAAATTAACTTTTGAAGAATTGTATACAGTTTTAACGCAAATAGAAGCGATTTTAAACTCTCGACCACTCACTCCTTTATCAACGCACCCTGAAGATCTGACTCCACTGACCCCTGGACATTTTTTGATCGGACGTCCACTCACAGCTATTCCAACTGAAAGTTATGTAGACCACAATTATACTCATATTTCAAGATTTCAAAGAATTGAACAGCTTCGTCAACATTTCTGGACACGATGGAGCAAGGAGTATATCTCAGAACTCCAAAAACGGACAAAATGGCAAACCCAAGTAAACCCTTTGCAAATTGACTCACTTGTTTTGCTAAAGGAGGAAAATTTGCCACCAATGAAATGGAAGCTGGGTCGCATCGTGGCGCTCTTTCCTGGTGCAGATGATGTTGTTCGTGTCGCAGAGATTAGAACGTCTACTGGAAATGTGAAACGATCATTTTCGAAAATTTGTCCATTGCCAAGTGGATTGGTTGAAGCCAAGCCTTCAACGCCTGGGGGCATGTTGATGCATAGCGCCTGAATACTATTGAGTAGCAACTACTACAGATGTCTTAACTGCTACAAACAGAACAAGGCGTGTTTTAGCTTTTAGTATTGCTTATTCCATTCCGATTACACCTCTGATCAAGGAAACATCTTGTTTGATTTATAATCCTTTTTTCAAGAAAAGAAATTACTTTTAACTTTATACTATCCTGCGTTATACAGTACTATTATTTCGTATATAATATGTATAAAACTACTAGACTTAAACGAACCTGTGTAACAAGGGCTATATCTATTTTTAAACGATTTCCAGCTGTTTGGCCGACGGATTACAATATTTCGTAATTTTTTTAAATAGGAATAGCGATAACGAAATGATATTTTATATAAATAAAAGTATTAAGAATCTTTACAGGAAGAATCAATTAAAAGTGTTTTTCAAAGTTAATTTAATAGAAAATTAAGTTAATTAAATACTTAAATTAACCGTACTATAAACCTCAATTTAAACATGTTTTATCATTATCACATTTACTTCAAATAAATGTCAATATGGGTTATGGTCATTTAAATATATATGACATAATAAATATGCTAACGTAGATATTACTTTGTTTAGTTTGCCTTGCCCATACAATATACTTGTATCGTTTCGTTTAACGCATGAATGCGTCACTTCAGCATCGCTTTGTATTGCCATTGTTTAATTAAACTCGTTTTTTGAAGCTTTATTACTAATTTTTAATTCGGGCAACACTTCAATAAAAAAACCCGAAGCACACTATGTTTTCGCGCTCACCATCGCCATATTAAAATCATTCTAAAAAGGCAGCAACAAAATTTATTATTTATTGCAAACTAGAGTTTTTTTGTATGTAGTGGGTGTTACGTTTTAATAGAAGCTCAAGAACAACTAAGTATATTACAAATTGATACTAACAATCAAAATATGTAATTAGCATTCTTATATAAATGCGTAAGTTGGAATACTGACTAAACTTTCCGTAATTTCTTAAACCCACTTCTGAGCGGACTTCGCGCGGGATTCTTTATTCTAAACGTCCCATTTGCCGGTTTCTCGCAAAAGAACATAGATGGCTTCATGCAACTGTTGGTTGATAGAAGCCCACTTCTACGATAACCGCCGCATCTTTCCTCCAACTTGGTGAAGTTCCCTGGACACTTGAAATCCCAGTCAACGGCTCTCTCCTTCAATGGATCACCTAAGAGAGAGATCGCGATAAATATTATTGTAAACTCTTTTAAGAAATTTTTAATTTTCAGAAATAGTATTTAGTTATACAGTTTTACCTAAAAATTGAGTTGTCTTCCTCTATCTCAGCGTAAACGCAATATGACAGAAAAAGACCAATGAACCCTAGACAAAATTGTACTTAGACTGATATCTGCGGCTTAATTGAACATTTCAGTCGTATGTTTATTTTTACATTTAATAAGCATTTTAGTTTATTTAGCGACGCTTAGATTATGAAATCGAGTTATCAGCAATCCGTGAGTTGCAACGCCCAGTTAGCCCTGGCAAAAATAGATCTCACAGCGAGCCTTTAGAAATTGCCCAAGCGGCAAACAAATCATTCACACAGAGATAATTTCAGTTTTCTTTAGGTCCCTTTGTAATCTAGCTACTTAGCTAGTCAAATCGTATGGCGGCCCCATACGACATAACAAGGTACACTATATTATTTTGCTTCGCTTGCTAATTGAATAGCGAGCAGTTATTCCCCTACTCCGTTCAATGCGAGTTCCTACACGTATTTATTATTTGTAGGAATGCTCGAAAATGCATTTCGTTTTCAAGCATAGACAATGTGTGGGTTGCCATATGCGTAAAAAAGATAATTACTGACGTAATCACCATCTAGATATGGTAATACTTGAACGCAAAATGGCAAAATAATTTAAATGCAATATTTATTTTAGGAAGTAATATAGGGTCACCAAATTTGAGCGACGTTTTGTGAGCTGCCCTACGTTTTTTCGGAAAAACCACTTACCAAGAACAGTCCTATAGTGATACCGTTGAAATATATCACTGAAGCCGAGAAACGCGAAGTCCCCTGGCGTTTTGTGCTGGTCATATTGCTTGAATGTGTCTCTTATGTAATCCGCCTCTTCTTTTGTGTCAAGAATTGCGAGGTGACCACCTGCGCTAAGGCAGGTGGAATATGCCTCGTACCATGTTTGGGGCTCCAAATGGGTTATATAACACGTGTTGTTGGGGCCTAGTACCCAGCCTGTATAAAACTTTGGGTTGTAATTGGACCTTTTTAAAGTTATACTTCTTTAGGCGCGTTATGAAAAATTGATGAGAGTGAAATTTTACGATGCGCGCGCACCGTGACAGAAATTAACAGAATTACGACCACGGAAGATGCTACGGCATTGGACATAATTTTTTAATTCTGATCAGCTATTTAATAAGTCATGTTGTGTATGTGTATAAAAATAAAACTCTGAAAACTCACGTGAATCAAACGTATCACATTCCGAATAATACGTCACATCCGAAGCTTTAATTTTGCATGCGAATGGAAGGTGTTCCAAACAAGGATGCACAAAGAGGCGACCATTGCGTCGCATCGCCACACATCTGCCTCCACTGTGGACTGGCTGTTTCAGTTCCCATAGCAGATCGAGAATAGTGTCGTGAAGACCACTACCTATTATAAAATATATACTTTAATAGCCCGCGTGGATTTGGTGTTTTACATTGGGAAGATCTTTTGCGACTTTTGATGTGAAACATCTATAGCCGCACGTAAAACCGATTTCTGATTTAGTTCCTATCACATTTCAGAAAAGAACAGATGTTCTTTTCTGCATATTACTTTTACAAAATAATGTCGATGTTTCACATCTGCCAGGCGTCCCGTGACGGCCCACATTTTTTTTTTAAGTGAAACTTGTTTAGGCGCATGAGGGTAAAATTTTTACGGATGAAACGCAATAATAAGAATATTAGCGTCACAAAGATGTGCAGTGTTTTTGTCGAAAAAAAGGGAGAGACCGATTGAGAAAGGGCGAACGTAGCATGAAGCAAATAGCCATGAAGCGAGATTAGGGAGCAAGCAAGTGAGAAGAGAGGTGGGAGAGAGCTATAGTGAGAAAGATTCAGAGAGAGAGAGAGTAAGAGAGATCAAGAAAAAATACTAACATTAATGTTCACCCGTCGATACGGTAAACTCCCACCCCCTCAAATTAAAGAACGTATTTAAACAAACGTTTTGAATCGACAAGATATCCACATATTCAGATAATGGCGTATTTTGGATTATATGAATGTAGAATAATGTCAGTAATGAAAAAGGATTGACTATTGGTTGTCAAATATTTATGCCTGCGTTCCGACTCTTATTTCTTTTTGTGTTAATTTCTTAAATAAGTTGTGAACTTAATATTTGTTTTGTATTAATTGTATTAGTTTCATAAAATCTTAAATTAAATTCAGATAGGTAATCTGTAACACGACATAGTTGTCGACAAGCTGCTCAAAGACGTCTTAGTGTGATACACGCGCCTTTTCCGGTACCTGTACTCACTTGGCACTGTCCCAAAGTGCTGGAAAACCGCTTCGATACATCCGATCCCTAAAAAAGGCGATCGCTCTGATCCGTCCAACTATCGCCCAATAGCCATAACCTCCTTGTTCTCCAAAATAATGGAATCCATTGTTAATTGCCAGCTCTTGAGGTATCTAGAGGGCCACCAGCTGATTAGCGATTATCAGTACGGCTTTCGTCGTGGTCGTTCGGCTGGTGATCTTCTTGTATACCTTACACATAGATGGGCAGAGTCAATTGAGTCCAAGGGGGAGGCGCTAGCGGTTAGTTTGGACATAGCGAAAGCCTTCGATCGGGTGTGGCACAGAGCACTGCTCTCGAAGCTCCCAGCCTATGGGCTACCCGAGAAATTATGCGATTGGATCGCCAGCTTTCTGGCCGATCGGAGCATCAAGGTCGTCATCGACGGAGCATGTTCCGACCTTAAACCCGTGAACGCGGGGGTCCCACAAGGCTGTGTTCTATCCCCGACCCTTTTTCTCCTGCATATCAATGATATGTTGCAACTTAGCAGCATTCATTGCTATGCGGATGACAGCACTGGGGATACTCTTTACACTGGCCGGGCAGGTATTTCTCGGGCAGTTGTCAATGAATACCGGAACAAACTTGTGTCTGAAGTCGAAACTCTACTACATGGAGTCTCAGACTGGGGCAGACTAAACCTAGTCCAATTTAACCCCAAGAAGACACAAGTTTGCGCGTTTTCCGCTAAATAAACACCCTTTGTCGCTACTCCTCTTTTCGAAAACGCTCTTCTTAAAGCCACAGCCAGCATTGGAATACTTGGCGTTGACATATCGAACGACGTTCAGTTTCGCGGTCACGCATGGAGTACCGCTCTCACCTCTGGGCGGGGGCTCCCCAGTACCAGCTCCTTCCACTTGACCGTATTCAACGCAGAGCGGTTCGAATCGTCGACGACCAATCCCTCTCCGAGCGGCTTGATCCTTTGGCGTTGCGTAGAGATGTGGGGTCAATCTGCATCTTCTACCGCATTTACCATGGAGAGCGTTCAGAGGAGTTGTTCGGATTAATACCTGCAGCTGAGTTTCGTCATCGGACGTCGAGGCAGAGTACGAAATTCCACCCGTATCACCTCGACGTCCGCCGTTCCACAACTGAGCGTTTTTCAAGGCAGTTTTTGCCGCGCACCACCACTTTGTGGAACCAGCTGCCCACTGAAGTATTTCCGAACCAATTCGACTTAGGGTTCTTCAAGAAAAGAGCGTACCAATTCTTGAAAGCCCTCTGGCATTGAGAGTGTCCATGGGCGGCGGTATCACTTAACATTATGTGAGCCTCCTGCCCGTTTGCCCCCTGTTCTATAAAAAAAAACAACTTTTGAGTCAGACACGTAAATTTCCACGAAAGAAAAATGGTGCACATTCGGTGTCTGATCTCTGGGTGGTGGTAGCGCGCTTAAACACTGGGCCACTGATAACGATGTTAATATATTACAAATATATTTAAATAAAATATTTAGATGAATAATTATACCAATGGCAAAATATTTAATTAAATACTTTTTGCCTATAAACCTTGTCACGATCATATAAAAAACGTATGCAGAAATCCATGAAAATACAGGACTGTAGTGTGCCGGATATATTTTTCTTTGTATCTGTTTCAAGTTTTACTGACTTCTTATGGTCTGCCCAACATAACATTTTTCAATTTAAATCAGTAGCTATATTTTTCCTACATTTTACCGCTAATGTAATGTACAAATGGAGCAGTTTGGGGCTGGTGGGTTGAGCGTTCGACTCTCATCCCTCAGGACGTATGTAGTTTCGAACCCCGGCTGTGCACCAATGGACAGAATTTCTCTCTATTTAATCGTAGAGTGAAGGAAAACATCGTAAGTAAACCTTAGAACCAAAAAGTCTGGTCCCGTGTTTCAGGGACGGAAGGCTCAATATCTACTTTCCTATTAGAAAAATAATTTATCACGAACAGATATCAAAGGCTAAAGGTTGGTAAAGGTTGGCGTTGATTTTTTATCGCAAATATTTACGTAGAATTTTCATACTAATATTTGACAATTACAGCACTTACAGCTAGTTTAAATTAACAACAATCAGTAACTATACCTTTTATTGTAACGAAAGATCGTTCCGAGTACAAATCATGTATTCCAACATACACTCCTTCATATTTTGTCAATATCGGAGCTATTAGGAGCGGTATACTGTCCGCTTCGTCCAAGGAATGTGGTACGATTAGCTGAGAACCCTCCGCCTCACAACGTATGCGAGCCTGGTACCAATTCACGGCTTCAGTATGGAGTTTGTAGAATACTTTAAATACTTTCTCGTATCTGTAGTCGTCGCGAAATTGTGGCCTTTGTGAATCTAAAAATTAAAACAACAATCCTGGTTTTGTCTTATTTTTCTCTTGCCTTTAAACATTCCTTTATCATCATCATTAGTTTTTTAAAGGCGTTTTTCGAGGAACAGACTTATCTTTATGCCTAGTTACGCGACTTTCAACGCACGCGTAGGAGGAAAAAAATTAAAAGAAACGTGCAAATATGCCTCCGTCCGTGGTTGTGAGGCTTCATAGAAATGAATAATACCGCAATATCTCACGCGGTCGAATATTGTTGCTTTACTAAATTGCTTGATCAAGTACAGTGTTGAAATACTATTAAAATTGCTAAATTACACAGCTTTTATGAAATAAATTCAGATTAAATTATTCCACACAAATTGTTCAGATAGGCATTGATTAGATTTTAATCACAATATCCGCTTAATCATTTATTATTCTTACCAATAAAAACAATTTCGTTAAAGATATATAACACTTGAATCACCCCAGAAAAATTTATTCTCATTGTAATTCATTATTTTAAAACTACACTGAATCAATCAAAATTTTCACTTACCATAAAATTACTCGAGTCAATAAAACACATGTTAATTTCAAGCAGATTTTATTTTTAATCTATTTCTCTATTTCTTGTACTATAGCAAAAAGTTGTGACAGTAAAACAATGTCTTTTAAAAATTAAATTGTAATTTTAGTATTACATACATAATTACAATGATTCTCCGTTAATAAATAATTCATCACAATCTTAGGTACACATTTTTGCTGTTATAAATGCTTCACTAGGATAATCTTATAACATATTGAGAATATAATATTTATTTACACATTGCCACCATATATAACAATAACAAAAACAAAATAAATATGACTAGGAATATAATATTTTCCTAAACACTTCGTAGGATGCATTTATAACGCCCCAACTGAGAAATGCACGGGTTATGTTGAGTACAACACCATGGTAGAAATTTCCAAACTTAGACCCTCGCTTCCGTAAAATATAATTAAATTCATACAAGATTGTTCTATGGGGCCCTCCCAACTCACACTGCATTCCAATTTTTATCACATTTAATGGATAAAACAAGGTGCTAAGAAAAGCTCCAATTGATGCACCAGCTAGAAAATTTTGTAGGCCCTCATAAATCATGCTCTCTTGTTTAGGCAATCTGACCTTTATTTCATCTCTTATTATAAAAAACAGAGCATTTGATGGACCATTTCGTAACAGTATTGGTATATATCCTCTATAAAACTCTTTGATACCATAAAACTTAGATATCTGGCTAAACGCATGCGCTGAGTTCTTAAAGTTATTATGATACTTGGGGTGGATCAGCAAAGTTTGTAATCTTTCAAATGGCATCAGTGTTGCTTCAAAACATCCAGCCACAACACCAGCAATAGTTTTAGAAACATATGGATTAATTTTTCTATCTAAAAGTGGTTCCAAACATTCATCATACACACCAAACATAAGTGACATAGATATTGACCTCTGCAATAATGGAGGTAGCATACCCCGATACAGATATCCAAGCCCTTCTTTTTGCAACTGGTTTAAGGCAAAAGTTGCTTCTACACCATGCATCATCTGCAGCATAAAAAAAAACAAACATGCAATAAATTTAAATATAGAAATTGCAGAAAATAAAATCCTCAAATTATATTCCTATATAGGAAAGTTTAAACTTGATACACTGGATGAGCTACTGCTGCTTAATACTTCTAAAAATCTAGTTGCAAAAATAATCCAGAAAATTCCCTCCAATAAATAAATCCATTTAAACGGGCTACCCATGTCGATTAAACAAAATGTAACATTCAATAGAACTTAAGTAGAATTTTGTAATTGTATATAGTTTTCATACTTGCATACCAAGTCTATAAAAGATTATAAGATTTTAAATATACCTGTCTAAAAATTAATTTATTAAGAGGATAGCTGATGAGAATATTGCAGAATGCTGAGCCACCACCACATACAAACTCCTTCCAATGTTGAGAAAAAGCTTGTTTGGGCATCCCGACAGACACACTTCCCTCATTTAGGCGGCTTTGTTCTAGAGAAGTCTTTAGACATTGTCCTCCCTGTGATGACATTATTTTTCCATACTCATCTGTAAAATTCAATAGTAGAATTAGAGATTTGTGGTTATGATTAGAAACATATTTCCTTATAAGTTATTTAATTTTAATTAGACTTTGCAATGTTTATATATTTATGAAAACGTAAGTTTACTTACTTCTTGTAGTTTGAATGATTTGAAGAAATTAGAGTGAAATTGGATTAATTTTCAGGGACATAGTACGACATGAAAGATGTGAATATTTTAATTTATTTAGTAAAATATGAATAGATAACAACATTAAAAACTTAATACTAACGTCGTTAACTTCTTTGTCGTCGTTTTCGATAATCATTTTATAACATTTCCATCAACATAATCCGAAGCTTTTAAAATTATGTATTAAATATTAATTTATTACAAAATTGTACAAGTTAAATTTGCAGGAAATTGCTAACTTGTCACTAGAAAATTGACAATAGAAGTAAACTGTCAAATAATGTTTCATTGTATATTGACATGACTCAACTAATTACACCCCCGGCCCCCCTGATCCTCCGGATAGGGTCTCTTCTCCGGTGGAATCAATGGATTTATCGACCCCACTGTTGCCCCAACCTGGTGTCAAGCGCAGACTTGATACTGTCAATGAATCTTTAGTGGAACCTTCCAAAAAACCAATGACTGATGTCCGGTCATCTGTTGATGACGTCAACCCAGGATTTTACTCTCATCCATCTCTCACTGGCTCTCCCAAGTCATACCTTGTCAATGACAAGGGCCCTTTTTTAGTCCATGTTTCTTGCCCTGAATCTGACCCATCCGCCGGTACATCAATCCGTCCAATTAAATTTGGTCACTTCTTGGTAAAAAATAAAGTAAGTAACATTGTTCGTGATGGTGTTAAAAGAGTGGGACGTAACAGAATATCTGTTGAGTTTAAGTCGGGTTTAGATGCTAATAATTTTGTGTCTAATCCCATTATACCTTCCAGCAATTATTCTGTTACGATTCCTAATTACAATGTTTCCCGTATGGGTCTTGTGAGAGGTGTCCCAGCTGATTGGTCGATGCAAGAATTTGTCGAAACCCTGGAAATTCCTGAAGGTATTGGTATAGTCCTCAAGGCCAGACGCCTAAACCGCAAGACAAACTCCGATGGTCAAATTAATTGGATTCCAACACAAACTGTTGTTTTAACCTTTCAGGGACAAACCCTTCCGGAGAGAATATTCTCCTGTCATAGTTCCCTCCGCGTTGAAACGTACCAACTCCCAACAATTCAATGTCTCAACTGTTGTAGATTTGGTCACGTAAAGTCACAATGCCGTTCTAAGCCTAGGTGTTTTCGTTGTACTTTAGCCCATCCTGGTGATGATTGTAATATCCCTGAAATAGAGTCATTATGTTTATTTAGTACTGCCTCGCACTATGCGACCAACAAAGCTTGTCCTGAGCATAATCGACAAAAAAACATAAAGAGTTGTATGTCTCAGGAGAGCATTTCTTATCTCGAAGCATCGGCTCGGTTCAGACCTATCAGTGGCAAAACTTTCGCAGACTCTGTTAAAACAACGCCCTCCCCTTCATTCAATGTATCCCAGCCCATTATTATACCTTCCCAAGTTTCCCGTCAGACAACATCATACAGGAAAACGGTATTTCTCCCTCCTCGCTCTAGGCCAACATCAGGAAAATCCTTTGATAAGGCGGCCCATGAGGCCATTACTTCCAATTTTCCCTCCTCTTTACCCAATGGTTGTGCCGTAAGCTCCCCAACCCTTATCAACAATGAAGTCTCCCCAAATGAAAATCTTCTTGACTGCTTATGGGCAGTCATTTGTAACATGCTATCTAAATATGATGACATCCCCATACCGTCCCACGTTGCCCAAAAAATTAATTTGCTCCACTCATTCGTCACCAAAAATGGCGAATCTAGTAATCCAGTGGAATTGTAACAGTATTCGCAGTAAAAAATCCGAATTAACCTTTCTCATCAATAAATTCGCTCCATCTATTCTAGCCATTTCGGAGACTTGGTTATTGCCGGGTTCCCGCTTTAGGGTTTCTGGGTTTCGATGTCTCCGAGATGACAGGGATGATGGCTATGCTGGCTGTGCCTTTTTGGTCAGCCGATCCCTCACCTTCCACTCATTATCTCTTCCTCATTGTGATGGTATTAATGCTGTTGCTATGAGAGCTTTTAATATCTCGTTTATTTCTGTTTATATTCCCCACCCCCATATCGACCTCATTTCTGATATACGTTCTATTATCCTTTCGGTTCCTCCTCCTGTTGTCATGTTGGGTGATTTCAATGCCCACCATGTTTCTTGGGGTTGTCATTCCTCAGATTCTTTTGGGTCCCTTCTACTAGATTTACTCGATGATATAAACATAAGTGTCTTGAATAATGGTTGTCCTACGAGAAGGAGTCTTCCATCTCAGAATCCCGCTAACGCAGTGGATTTATCACTTTGTTCTCCTGATCTTTTCCCTTTTCTATCCTGGCGTGTTTTTAAGAGCACTTGTGGGAGTGACCACTTCCCCATTTTAATTGATCTCCCAACCAATTTAAGGAGCGTTACTCGCCCTTCCCCTCTTTTAAAATTTAAACTGAATCAGGCCAATTGGTCAGACTTTTCATCTTCTATTGACTCTAAGATAGCTGCGCTCCCCGCAGTTTCTGTTGAAAACTGCCTATCTTCATACAATGATTTTGTCAACTCCCTCACCTCATCTGCCAGTTTACATATTCCACTCAAATCTTCTACACTAAGGAAAATTTCTCCTCCTTGGTGGGATTCCGAATGTACTGAGATGATTCGAAAAAGAAAAACGGCAGAAAGGTCATACAGTCTTTGCATGACCTTGGAAAATTTTTTAGTCTACCAACAAGCTTCTGCAGCTGCTCGCAGACTTCTTAATAATAAGAAACGTCTTGGTTGGCATAAGTTCTGTGAGAGCATGTGCCCTGGTACCCCTTCGTCTGTTGTTTGGAGGCAGATCAGAAGATTCCGTTGTTCCCTCAATTCTTATGATGTCCCTTTTAATGATCCGTCTAGCTGGATTACCTCCTTTGCCGACAAATTGGCTCCTCCATCAGTCCCTTTTATGATTGTCTTCCTTATAAGTATAATTCTTACATCCCCTCTTCAAACAGTCTAGATTGTCAATTCTCCTTGGAAGAACTTAACAAAGCATTAAATGGTCTCTCTGACTCTTCCCCTGGAGAAGATGGAATCCCTTACTCATTCCTCATAAATTCTTCATTAGGCACTAAGAGGTACTTTCTAGATTTAGTAAACTGTTTTTTCGATCATGGAATTATTCCTGAATCGTGGAACAGACAAATCGTCATTCCGCTTCTAAAACCTGGCAAAGATCCATCAGATTTCTCTTCATACAGACCTATTGCTTTGTCTTCTACCCTTTTAAAAATTATGGAACATTTGATTAAAATTCGTTTAGAATGGTTTTGTGAAAGTAACAATAATATCTTTGCAAAATCCCAGTTTGGTTTCAGGAAAGGCTTAAGTACGATGGATAGCCTAAGTATAATAACGACCGACATTCGCATTGCTTTTAAAAAGAAACAGTTCCTGGTGGGTGTTTTCTTGGATATCGCATCTGCGTATGACCACGTGCTGGTTCCAGTGCTCAGGCAAAAAATGCTTCAGCTGAGTATTCCTGAGAAGTTGGTACGTTTTGTTTGCAATGCAGTTTCGAATCGTTATATTATTATAAGATCTCAAAATACGGAGCTGTCTCCTAGATCTATTTGGAGGGGCTTACCTCAAGGTTCTGTTTTGAGTCCTCTTCTGTACAACATTTACACCTATGACCTGGAGCTTGTTGTGAATTCCTTCTGTCAGATTCTTCAGTACGCGGACGATGTAGACTTATACTTTTCATCAAATTCTATTGAAGAGGCATCATCACGCCTAAATTCGGCTTTGGATTATTTGGGTGATTGGTTAAATGATCATGGTCTCTCTATTTCTGTGCCCAAATGTTCGGCAGTCACGTTTACTACAAAATACAAGGTTCCACGGTGTAACATTTCATATAAAGGGTCCTTGGTATCGTGTTGTAAGCAAGTAAAATTTTTAGGCCTTATTTTAGACTCAAAGTTAAACGGTGTTCCTCATTTTAACCATGTGATTAAAAAAAGTGAGAAGGGTGTTAATGTTCTCCGTTCATTATCTGGTGTGAGGTGGGGAGCACACCCCTACTCGCAAAAGCTTTTATACAATGCTGTGGTACGAAGTCATTTTGATTATGGCACCTTCCTTTTAGATCCTGGCAACAAGCAAGCCCTTGATAAAATTTCCAAAATTCAATCGAAATCTTTACGCATCATCCTTGGTGCTATGAAATCCTCTCCCATCAATGCTCTCCAAATAGAATGTGTTGACCCCCCTGTATTTACGTAGACAATTTTTAAGTGACCGCTTCTTCATCAAAGTCCTTCAATACTCTTCACATTCCATCTTGTCCAAATTACGTCGCTTATCTAATCTCACGATGCCATCTAGTACAGGTAATGTTCCATGCCTGTTATACAGTTTTAATAAACTTTCTCGTCTTCCTAATCCTATTGAAAGTTTCCCTAGTAATCCCTTGTTTTTAAATAGTTATGAATCCCTCATTTTTGATCCTAAAATAATTTTAAACTTTGGAATTGAAAAAAAATCCACCCAAGCTTCCACTTGTTTTCTGGAAAAAATTTCTAAAGACTGGCAGGGTTGGTTACCGATGTATACTGATGCTTCCAAGATTCCCAATAATGAGTACATCGGTGCGGCTGTATGGGTTCCTTCATTCAAAACAGTATTGAGCTTTAAACTTCCTCCATTGACCTCCGTTTTTTCAGGTGAAGCTTTTGCAATCCTAGAAGCGGTTTTGTATGCTGAGTCCCACAACCTAAATAAAGTTACAATTTTTTCCGATTCTCGCAGCTGTTTACAGGCAATTCTTTCCAATCCATTCAGGTCTAAAAAAAAACATAATACTATTCTAAAAATAAGAGAAGCTTTGTTTAGGTGTAGTAAAAAAGATATTCATATTGTACTTTTGTGGATTCCTAGTCATTGTGGTATAGCGGGTAATGAAACTGCTGACTCTTGTGCAAAAGGTGCTATTTTCTGCGGATCTTGTCAGCATCCCAACATCTCGGCCCACGACCTATCAGCTCTTGCGTACTCCCACCTTTTAAAATCCTGGACTATTGATTGGCAATCTTCTAAAGTAAAAACTGGCAGGCACTATGCTAATATTCAGTATTCAATCCCTTCTTCGCCGTGGTTTTTTAAATATAAGTTTTTAAACAAAAAGGTCACGTCTATAATCTGCCGTCTTCGTATAGGGCACACTTGTACTCCCGTTCATCTAGCCAAAATTAAAATTAAAGACAGTTCTCTCTGTGAGTGTGGTATGGACGAAGGCTCGACAGACCACATATTTTTTAACTGTTCTTTAATTAATGACTCGTTATTTGACCATCTTTCTTCAGATTTCCCTCGTCCATGTAACCTTAACTCCCTACTTTCCCTCCCATCCAGCTCGATCGTCAATATTTTAGGGAAATTTATTTCTGTTAATAAATTAAAGTTATAAATAAGATTCTCCCCTCCATACCTTGTAGTAAAATGTTAACCTTTTGTATATATTATTAGATGTCTGTGTGTGTTGTATTTATTGTGATGTCATTTTTGTTTTGGGTAACTCTGCTTAGATAAAATTCAATCTAGTAAAATTATCAAATCTATCCTCACTGTGTGAAGACTTGAACTACTAGAACGTGACATTGGCGGAATTGTGATTTACACAGATGTCGCCATTATAAATAAAGTGAAGTGAAGTGAAGTGACATGACGCTTGTCATAAGCCAAACGACGACAGTCCCAACTCCCAAGTCCCAAGTATTAAGTCATAAATCAAAATCATGTCAAAACTTAAAAGTCGTATTGTTTGCAAATAAATAACTTTTGATAACATAAATTCCAGGAATTTACGAGTTACTAAGACATTAAATAAACTGTTGAATTAATCATTATATTCACAGTCGTACAACGTATCTCGGGTATCGAAATGGCAGCTGTGCTCAAGAAAAGGGCTTTAGCTGAGTATAATAAGTCCTATCAGGTAAGCAACTTGAAAATTGATATGTAAAATAACATAGAAATAGTAAATTTATGAATACTAATGTGGATACATAATCAACAATAACAAACTACCTCTTTACGCGAAATTGAAGTTCAAATACTACAGAGAATATACCATTTCAGGATGGTCCCTCGTCAAAAAAACTCCACTTAGCAAAAAAACCTTTGATTGGGAGTTCAGCCGCAGCATTTGTTGGTCTTTTAGAAAAATGTAAATCGAGCGATGAAGCGCTTCAGTTATTATTACGTATATCAGACTGTCTTCAATTTCAAGAATCTGATGTGGAAGAAGCTATTAAAAAACTTTCAGAGCACTTTCAATCAGAGGAGGAGTCAGCGGTACGCGTTAAAATATTATGGCTCTTTTGTGATATTGGGTTAGAATGTCCTGGTGCTAATTTAAATCATTTAGTTGATGAAACTATACATTTGATAAAGAATGAAACTTCACATAAGGTAAGACATAGTGTAAAACTTAAGTTAGTGATTACACTAATTAACAATTATTAAATTGTGAAAAATATAAGTTACTCTCTCTTTATTTCTATATTACTTATTTTACAGGTCATAGCTCAGGGATTAGGCACTTTACTAAAGCTTGGTTGTAAGCTGTCAGATGATAAGACCTTAATGCAACGTTTGGTTGCTGTTGCTAAAGAAAATCTTAAAGATACAAGTCACCAAGTGAAGTGTAGATGTTTGCAATTGATCAGTGAATTATATCCAATATCCCCTGAACCTGACCGGACACCTGACATGATTACAGAAGCAAATGTGATTGTGAAGTTACTAAGTGATTACAGTAACGCTGAGGTAAGATATAGTTGTAAGTTTTTAAATGGCATATTATGGAACTTTAATTATCCTTCAGTTTAATAACAAGACCAGTTATTTTATCAAAAGAATATTCCACTTACTCAAATTCTTGTCACTCACTAGTTGTTGCTGGTGTTAATTGACTAATTAAGTTTCCCTGTGGCATAAATAAAAATTCTTTCTCTGTAAAATTAAATGAGGCTCAATACTATTACATTCCCCTATTGTGTTTGTTTTTTTAACAAAATAGGGAAAACTACACCATATTACATTTTTATTTACACTATCTCTTGATGACAACCTCATTAGCCATTATATATATAAAAGTATTGAAGCAGAAAGCAACTTTGTTTTGTGTTAAAAGACTAATTCAAGGAATTATATTTTAGGATGCCAGAGTAAGGTCTGAAGCATTTCAAGCATTACTTACGTTGCATGGACGTGGTTTAACATTGAGTGCTGACATCTATGAACAAGTTTGCCCAGCTCTATCAGATGACTATGAAATTGTAAGGGAAGTGGCATTGAAGCTCATTTGGCTCCTGGGAAATAAATATCCTGAAAAGTAAGAACCATTATATTGTTTGTTTTTTCATTTACTTAAATTAGACATTTGAGTATACTGGTCTATTTAAACTTTCAAGCATTTGTGCTTAATTGTGTATAAGACTGTGTTAGCGTTAATTCAACATGCAATTCTTTTCCCTGAGGTTGTAGTTTGAGTACCTGCTTTGCACCAGTTGACTTTCTGTGTTTGCATTTAATACTCGTACAATAAAGGGAAAATTCCATTTTTTCCACCCAAAAGTTTAAGTCGACAGAGTGTTTGTCTTTTTTGAGAAAAGAAGGCTGATCACCTATTTGCTTATTAGAAGTAACAAGTGATCACTAAACAGCTACAAAAATTAGAGGCCCAGACCTTAAAGGTTGTAGCGCCTTAACTGATCTTTTTAGTGATATATGTTTTTAGATTTAAACCAGGTATATCCCAACTAAGACTAGTCCAAGTTTCATCAATTTTGGTAGCTAGTATTTGAGATATGGGTATCCACACCTTGGTTAATTATTAGCAGTATGTAACTTTTACTAAGCACTTTTATTACAGTACAGTGACCCTTCAAGATGGTGAAACAACAATGCGGTTGGTAGATGATGCATTTATCCGTATATGTTCAGCGGTTAACGACCTGTGTATGCAGGTTCGAGCACTGGCTTGTACTTTACTCGGTACTACTAGGGCTGTATCTGACCGATTCCTTCTACAAACTTTGGATAAACAACTAATGAGTAATATGAAGGTATGCAATGATTTGATTGATTTGCTGAAAGCTGAATAGCACAATTTTAAATGAATTTATTGATATTATGTTGCTGTAAATTGGAGAAATCTTCTGGACTATTATTATATAACACTTTTACATTATTTAAATAACTTTTCAGTGCTTTTCAGTTATTGTGAATATTTATATGTGACTAGCTGACCTGACAAACGTCGTTTTGCCATGTATATCATTTATATTAAAAATAGGGGTTGATCGTAGAGGGGTGAAAATTAGGGGTTGTATGTATTTTTTAATGCTGTATCATAAAAAAATAAAAAATTAAAGAAAAAAAAATTAGGGGTGGACTACCCTTAACATTTAGGGGGATGAAAAATAGATGTTGTCCGATTCTCAGACATACCCAATATGCACACAAAATTTCATGAGAATCGGACGAGCCGTTTCGGAGGAGTTTAACTACAAACACCGCGACACGAGAATTTAAATATTAGATATAGTTATAATAAATTATCTCACAATACAAGTAAATGGTCATACTTGTGCAAAAATAACAAAGAACTGAATTAATAAATAGTATTTTTTAATTTACTGAAAGTTTGAAAAATAAAATAAATAAAATTATGTTTCATAAAAAGGAACATATACGGCATTAAAAATACTCTCACACAATGATAATAATTGTTTAGAAAAAGAAAACAGCCCACGAGCGTGGAGCGGAATTGGTCCGCTCAGGGGCGTGGGCCAGTGGGCGCCGCTGGGCAGACGATGCCCCGGGTCAGTTGTTGGAACAGTCCACGGTTCAATTGTTACCCGGAGGGGCGGCTGGGGCGTTTGTACATGGGTTGGAGGACGAGTTTATGGGTACGTTTTTTCATGATATTCTCCCCAGTCTCTATTGTGTCAGACGGGATTTGTCAAATAATTGTCAGAATTTAATATCGTCTTTGGGAGCGTTCAAGTATTACGTAACGAATTTGGGGGATTTGTAAAAGTTACGATGCGGGATGGGGATTGAATTACGCGTTATTGTTAATATTATTTTCGACTTTCTAGTACTTTACACCACATAATGGTAACTTTTAGGTATAAAGAGTCACTAGGTGGTCACGAAACGTTTTACTATACTTGGGTACAGCAAAACGTTACGGCGCGTTACATGGGGAGGGGGGGGTCAATTATAGCCAAAAATCGCTTGACGTAATACTTGAACGCTCCCATTGGTTTTTACAATTGAAAACAAAAGGCAACATGTCTCCAGTTCGCTAATCTTAATCATAAAATGCTTCCTTCTGCTAGTGCTGATGTCCTAAACTTGCATCTGCGTTGTACTTAAATTGAATATCAAAGTCAAATCATTTATTTCAATTAGGCCTATTAAAAAGGCACTTTTGAAAGTCAACATTACAAGTATATAAAAATATTTAAAAAAAAGTGTGTGTACTTATGTACACGCGTTAGAAGTTATACTTCTTTGGCGTAACAAGATAAAAATCTTTTCAAAAATTGTATTCTACGTTTGTTGAAAAATACTAACAATAGAAAGAAGGCATTTAATACATTGAAAGTTTTATTATAACGCATTATCTAGTTAAATAAAGTTTATTTAAATATCACAGAAAAATTATTTCTACATAATTAAAGAAATGGACATTTTTTATTTTAGCATGCAAGAGGTATACATATTGATATTTACTATTTAATTCACGTCCATTGGTTGGAGTTCAGTAGACATGTTAGTTGCTTAATATGGCTTATGATATATGCTTAAGATAGCTAAAGTAGGATACAAATATTCTTGTAGAAACATTGTCTAAATATCGTACAAATACAGCATCAATAGTTGTATTTAAAAAAACTAAAATGTTGTCTATAGCTAAGTTCAGGTTGTCGATTTTTTGTAACGGTGTGTGCGCGCATCGTAAAAATTTACTCTTATCATTTTTCCCTAACGCGCCAAAAGAAGTATAACTTCAAGAATAATTCTAGTTTCCCCTTCCAAAAGAAAGTTTTCATATGGAGAATAATGGGGAAGATACTCCATACTTACTATTTTAAAATCCATATCACTATTGTAAGATACAGAATACCGGCGCTGATTCCTAGTCTTGAATAGAGGAACAAAAAAACTTGGCGCCATTCTAGCGGCGACAAAAACTTCTATTTCTCATTTAAAATGTATTGTTTTAGAGGTTCGCACAGCGGCCGTTGAAGCGGTATGCGAATTGTCAATGCAAAATCCAATTTTCGCAACGACATCGCTGGATTTTTTAGTAGATATGTTCAATGATGAAATCGAAGATGTGAGATTGCGGGCGATTGATAGTCTGAACAAGATTTCCCATCATATTGTTTTGAGAGAGGATCAGTTGGAGACTATTCTGTCTGCTTTGGAGGTGAGATAAGTAATATAGGACATAATTTAGCTAGTTGCAATAGTGTTAAAAGTTAATCTCAGTCATTCTGATAACTAAATAATCCAAATTAAATATAATAATCCCAATGCGTCAAATTAGTCAGTAATTATGCATCTGAAATGGCGCACATTTGTTTATTAAATTTAATTCATTGAATGTTTCTTGTCTTTTTCTCTTTTTTTAAGTTTCTTTAAATAGGTTTTATTTAGCCTTTGATCTGCATTTATTCCCTAAATAAAAGTAATTGTCGTTACATTAATAATACAAGTATTATATCTTTATATAAACGTGGTCGAATAGTAAAATTGAATAATTCATGAATTGGCCAAACGTGTATAAAAGGAATAATATAGGTCCTATAATCGCACCTTGTGGAACTCCAAGATTCTAGCAGATATATGCTCATACTTTTCCTTTTGATAGCTACTTTTATTTATGTATATTAAGAATAATAAGGGTCCATCCCTAGTGAAACTCTAATGGCAATGGAGTTTTAATATATTTATAGGATTATTCAATGGATGTAAGGGAGGGCTTGCACAGAATGCTCGGCTCGTGTACAGTGGCGTCTAAGACCTGCCTCGAGATGTGCGTTGATAAAATTTTGGAGAATCTCAAGAGATATCCTCAAGTGAGTTTTCATAGTATTTATATATTCACGAATCTGTTGTATTGTAAAATGGATTTTTTTGAATGGGAATTAGCTAAAGAAATTATTAATAAAAATGCTTGAGTTTTTTGAAAACTTCAGCAGCGGCCTAGTGGGTTCAGCTTGCGACACGCATCCGAGGCCGTAGGTTCGTTCTCCGGCTGTGCACCAATGGTCTTTCTTTCTATGTGCGCATTTAACATTCGCTCGAACGGTGAAGGAAAAACATCGTGAGGAAACCTTAGACCCAAAAGGCTGGATCACCTACTTGCCTATTACATTGACGAATGATCATGAAACAGATACAGAAATCTGTGGCCCAGACCTAAAAAGGTTGATGTGCCACAGATTTTTTTAATTACTTGGTCTGGCCAAGTTGAAGCCGAAAACGGGCTAGTGTGTTTTATTGTTTTTTTTTGTATCTTATGACAATGACCTGATTGTACGTGTTCCGGTCCGGTGGTGGAGAGGCTGGCTATCTGTCACTCAGGTCTCCTGTTACAGAGACCAGTCTCTCACATACACTTCCTAATGTTTCATCTTAGTTTCATCATAATAACCTTGTATGTATATGTGAGAGAAGAAATTAAAGATTATTATTATTATTATTGAAAACAATTTATAGATTCGGGACAAAGAAAGTTGCTACTATTTTTGTAATAAATTTTTGAGATATTTTTTGTCCCAGGACAAACGCTCCACATTCCGTTGTGTGCAAAAAATGGGTAGCAATCACGCTACTCTCGTGCTTCCACTGACCACGCGTCTGCTTGGGGTTCACCCTTTCTTTGACATGCCGGAACCGGATGTTGAAGATCCCAGCTGTATCCTTTTTTAATAATCTATTACTATACATATAAAGGAATAATTTTCTCCCACGTTAAATCTTATAAATTTATGTCTGTCTCTTTTTACTATCGCTTTTTCGTTTCATCGACTTTCAAACTTTAATTATTTAGTTTTTATCAAAATTAATAATTGATATTAAACTTTAAAATTAAAATTAGATTCGTCTCATTATCTTAAAACCAAAATTTTTGAAGGTTTCACTTCTAACACGTGTGAACTGCACATGTTTTTTTATTTTATTGTTCTGGATACTGCGGTCTATATTATATCCAAAAATGTTTTACCTAACATATTTTGGAACATTTACTACCATTGATGTAATTATGGAGCTTAATATTTAATTTTAGCATATTTTATAATCAAACTAGCTGACCCGGCAAACGTTTGTTTTACCATGTATATTATTTCTAGGAAACATTTTTTTGATTCAATAAAAATAACTACTTATAGCTAGTATTATACAATAATAAAAAATAGGGGTTGATCGTAGATGGGTAAAAATTAGGGGTTGTATGTATTTTTGATGGTTGATCATAAAAATATAAAAACAAAAAAAAAACATAAAATTTTGTGGACACCCCTTATCACTTAGGGGTTTGAAAGATAGAAAGTAGCCGATTCTCAGACTTACTGAATATGCATAAAAAAATTATAAGAATCGGTAGAGCCGTTTCGGAGGAGTATGGGAACGAACATTGTGACACGAGAATTTTATATATTAGATATTTAAACGACCGATTTACATTCGATTTACTTAACTCAATAATAGATATGTGCGTACTTATCTTGGTTTTGAATGCGGCTCAACATTGTACGACGATGCTGCCCCTTTTCGAGGAACATACAGTCAAACATTACACATACTTAAGAGATACGATGCCACATCTGGTGCCCCTGCTGCCTATTGGTGAGTTTCTTTAATTGGCTCTTATGTTGTATCTCATAGGAGCTATATTTCTGTGCCAGTATAAATACGTAAGACTAGCGGCCGGCTGTCTCTCGGCTGACGTTTCAAAATTTTGAAAATAAATATAATGTCAGGAATAATGTCAGCAGTCTCGGCCTAGTGTTCAGAGTGCGACTCTAATCCCTGAAGTCCTGGATTCGAACCTCGAATTTGCTCTGGACTTTCTGTCTATATACGCGTTTAACACTTGCTCGTACGGTGAAGGAAAACGTGAGGAAACTGGCTGATCACCTGCTTGCCTATTAGAAAAAAAAAAGACGAAACAGATACAGAAATCTAAGGGCAAGATCTAAACCATACGAATGGTAGTTTTTTTTTGAAATTGGTTTAAAGTTTTGAGTTTTCTCGATAAACATAAAAAAAGACAAATCTCTCTTTTTTTTAAGTAATAGGAGGCAAACGGGCAGGAGGCTCACCTGATGTAAAGTGATAATGCCGCCCATAGACACTCACATTGCCAAAAGGCTAGCGAGTTCGTTGCCGGCCTTTCAAGAATTGGTTCGGAAATACTTTAGTGGATACTTCATAACAATAGATAATTTAATGCGGCATCTGTTATTATTCGTTTAGTTAAAACTAACTTAAGTAATATGTAGTAAATTTAACTTTCAGGTGAAAATCAATTTTCTCGTAAGCAAAAAAGTGAATCAGAAATGGACGATAGTGCAGTTCGAAGATTCTTCGAGAACGTCTTACAGCACATTGATAACGTGACTTTGTCAAGTAACGTGAGGCTTAAGATGCTCCAATCTGCTGAAGAACAACTTAACAAGTAAGTGCTGATAGTATTTAGGCCCACTAACAAAGCCATACTTAGAAAGAATAAATAATTTTCATAAACTAGAATTATTGAGTGGCCTTGATAAGACCGAACGGTGTACAGTAAAGATTACTTATGATAGTGCAGATGCTCTTCCTGTATTCCGGATCGAAGGACCAATTTTTTATCTGTGTTTAACCTTAACTAACTTGTGTCCAAACTCCTTTTGTGGCTTTTGTACATTAAATAAATAAAAGTCGTCGGGTTTAAACAGTAAATTGTCTAATATTGGTTAAAATAAATAAGATGAACACAGATTTTGACAAAATTGATTGCAATTATTGTATGACCACTTCAGCATTTTTACTTTCATTTTTAAATAACAAATAATCAATAATTGAGAATAATTATAAATAAAACAGCAGCAGCAGTGTTGGGTTCATGGCTTCAGCGTGTGACTCTCATCCTGAGGTCGTAGGTTCGATTCCCAGTGCAGCAGTTGACTATCTATGTGCGCATTTAACATTCGCTCAAACGGTGAATGAAAACATCGAGGGCTTGCCTAAGACCCTAAAAGTCGACGGCGAATGTCACTAACAGGAAGTTCATCACCTACTTGCCTATTAGATGGTCAAATGATCACGAAACAGATAAAGAAATCTGAGGCCCAGACCTAAAAAGGTTGTAGCACAACGGGTGTTTTTTATATCGGATATAAACGTGAATTTGTTATTAACTTGACGGTTCAAATGCTTTTTATCAGTGACTTATGCTATTTCATAAATTATTTTTATTTTTAAACAATTCTCTAAATCCATTTTTCAATTGGGCAGCCTTATATTAAAAACAATGTGTTAAATTGTTGCCCTTTAATTAAATGATAACATCGCGTGTATATTTGTTAAATAAGTTTTTTGTTATGGCAATTTTCAGGTTATCAGAAATGGAGCCATTGGTGACAGGCGCGGCTAACTTCACGGCAATGTTCGCGCGATGTGTGTTAGCTTTACACACAGCGCTAAATAATCCCGCGGGTCCACCTGCGCATGCGCTGCAGAATCTCTCAACGGACTGTCTCAGGTAATAAAAAATTGATGGCCTTACATTTACAGTATCTCAGAAACTGATGACTATATCATTGAGATTTGCAGCATGAACATATAACTGTCAGACTTGACAATTCTACAAGATTCTTAAGTCTTACAAAATTACAAAAGGTATCTCAAGCTCAGTCTCCGCTTAACTGCCAAATATGTCAAATTCCGCACTATCCGCACTGTCAAATATGTCAAATTTCGAATAGAAACAATGATTTGACAGTTTCTGAGTCACGTTCAATGTCAATGTGTCAATCTGTCTGTGTTCGGCGTGTGCTGTATGTAACATGTCGGACGATTATCAACAATCTTTCTGAATCTGTGACACCAATAAAATGAAAGTCTAATATTTCTTCTTTACAAAATCTAGGTTTATTAAATAATTTATTTGTTAGTAACCTCTCTTTCTCTCCTCACCTGCAAAGTGCCAGTCTTTTATGGATTTTGAATTTTTATACTTGCATACCTACTTCGGGGTCTTTCTTTCCTACTAATATATTCATTTTTTTATGTATACATTTTTGTTGGGTTTTTCGTGTGTTATTCCATGGTAACCAGCCTGAGCCCAGCTGATAGTGATGTTTTTATGTAGGCGCTCGGAGAGGGGGGTTGGTAATAAAAGTCAAAAGTCAAAAATCATTTATTCATATTGGCAACACAATGTACACTTATGAACGTGAAAAAAGAAATATACATTAATTGCCTCTAATTTTCATTTACTGCCAGTTCTCAAATCGAGGGCTTAGAACCGAAGAGAAGAACTGGCAATAAACTCTCCGCCACTCTTTTTAATCGCCAAGTTTTTTGTTTTACACAATGTAAGGAGAACCATTACACCATGTTCCACATGACATCCTAAGTAATAAATAATAATAAAATAAATTAAAAACAAAGATTTGTTCTCTATCAGCAGTAGGAATGGTGAAAAAGGAGCACGCATTAAATTCTCGTGGGAACATTACGCAATTGATATATATTATCGTTTATTTTATTATATAAAGACTAGCTTACCGGGCAAACGTCGTTTCGCCATGTATATCATTTATAATAAAAAATAGGGGTTGATCGTAGAGGGGTGAAAATTAGGGGTTGTATGTATTTTTTAATGCTGTATCATAAAAAAATAAAAACAAAAAAAAAAATATCTAAAAATTAAAACAAAATAATTTAGGGGTGGACTACCCATAACATTTAGGGGGATGAAAAATAGATGTTGTCCGATTCTCAGACATACCTAATATGCACACAAAATTTCATGAGAATCGGTCAAGCCGTTTCGGAGAAGTTTAACTACAAACACCGCGACACGAGAATTTTATATATTAGATATTTGTATTGAGTTTGTCGGATATGATATTACCAAGACCGCCCACTCTACTTAGTACTAATCTATTTGCTATTGAAATTTCTTGGTCTCGAGGATTTGAACCCGAGACCTCATGATCTACAGTCGAAACCTGACCTATTATTTGTTGTAAGTTGTTTTTTTAATTAAAATCGTGCTAATATAAACTTTTCCATATTTTTAAGATTGCAACACCAATTCAGTGGTGTGACAGAACAAGAAAATGCTTGTGTATGGCAACTTGCATTGCGCGTGAGTGCGGCTCGACTAATAGCGGCGGTTGAAAGCGCGGCTATGACAACGGGAGCGGGGGCGGGAGCGGTAGCACTGTCAACGGCGGCTGCTTTGACGCATCACGCTGAGCTTTTGGATCGGCTACTTGTTTCTGCGGGTGAGTTTTATCTGTATTTAATTAAAATGCATTATTAAATACAATATTCACGTAAAAAAGAAGATAGATTTGAAAAAACTTATTGTTAAAGTAAAATAAGAAACTATTAGAAAATTCTAGAGACTTCTAGAGAACTGTGAAAGTTGTTTTACAGAACATATTATGTTGTCGTAGATATGTGATTTAAATGATTAATTTTTGATTACAAAGAAAAATCAATCATATCAAAAGTACCAATCTGTCTCTTTTCGTCACAGCATAAATTCAATATGGCAGAAAGGGATGAAAGAGCTACTTTGCTGAATATTTTTCCAGGCATGGAACCAGATCCATTCACGATTGCAGTGTTCCAACAGCTGTCGTGCGGTGAGCCGAAGCCGGGGTCGTTGGCCCGTGCGCTTCATCCGCTCCTACTCGCCGCTCCGCTACCGCAAATTCCCACGCCTAATCTAAAGGTATTTATTGGTTTCTGTAAGCATAATTGTTATGTTTTGAACAAACGCCCAACGTTATTCAATAACCAAAGATTTTGAAGTTTTTTTTTAATGACCTTCAAAAAAAAAATCGTTAGTTAATATAAGTTGGAATTAATAGTTTTTAGTCCGAAAACTAGAATGGAATGAATTTGGACTAAATATAGATGGGAGAAAACTACATCATCTTCGATTTGCAGACGACATTGTATTGTTCGAAGAGAACCCTCATAAACTTGGAGAAATGATACAAGACTTAAACAAAGAAAGTGAGAAAGTAGGCCTGAAAATGAACACAAGCAAAACAAAGCTACTATCAAATTCAGTCCCATACGAAATAAAACTTAATAATCAACCTCTAGAATATGTTGAGGAGTACATTTATCTGGGGCAAATTATCTCTCTAACTGATATAACCACCAAAGAGATCAAAAGAAGAATAGCAAATGGATGGAAAAGATATTGGTCACTGAGGGAGATCATGAAAACAACAGATTTCAGCAAAAAAAAATAAAGAGAAAAGTCTTTAACACATGTATCCTACCCTGCCTTACCTATGGCTGCGAAACTTGGGCACTATCTAACCAGCACAGGGATATGTTAGCACACTGCCAAAGAGCCATGGAAAGAAGCATGCTGAGCATAAGAAAATTAGATAAACAAATAAACTCAGACATAAGAGCTAGAACAGGTGTGACAGACATTCTCACTAAGATCGACCAAATGAAATGGAGATGGACGGGTCATATGCTACGGAGCCCTCATGAAAAATGGAGCAAAATTGTGACGGAATGGTACCCTAGAGACGGAAAACGAAGAAGAGGTCGACCACGCAAGAGATGGGAGGACGAACTGAAACTAACAGCAGGCTACAACTGGAGAAGAGTCGCAAAAGATAGAGAACAGTGGAAAGGGTTAGAGGAGGCCTTTGCCAAGAGGCAAACCGAACTCCGAGATATACTGGAGTGAAAATATATTAGAGTTCAGATATATAAAATGACAGAGTTTCGGAATTTAAAGGCTATATTATTATTATTATTATTATTATTATAGTTTTTACTTTTTTTTTTATGAAGCGAAATAACTATAATCAATAATTTATTCAATTCGACTTAGGGTTGTTCAAGAAAAGAGCGCACCAATTCATAAAAGGCCGGCAACGCACTTGCGAACCCTCTGGCAATGTGTGTCTATGGGTGGCGTAAAAAAAAAATCTTTAAAAACCTACCAAACCACCTTATTAGCTTTGGATACTCTAAACGAAAGATTCAAATAAAGTGGCCGCGCTATTGAAGAATTTAAATTAATTTTTATCAAAAATGTGTCGCCTTTTTTAACGGTTTAACGGTTTAATCGAAAGTTTACGTGATTCTATTATTTTTTTTTTACTTACGATATAAAGTATATTGTCTTATTTCTTATAATATGAAATTAAATCTTTATTTCATCAAAAGAAACTTACTAAGTACTTCTTTACTAAGCAAGCAAAAATAATTACTACGGACAACGAACAATATAGTGTAGAAAGCTGGTAAACGAAGCTGGCAGCCACAGGGCCAGGAAATGGTCGGTGGGTGACCAGGTAGCGGGAGGGTCGGCCAGTCCCTTTTACCAACGTTAGCTATAAGCTTGCTTCATCTTTGGACGACTCATTGGTGTAGTGCTTAGTACCCCTGACTGCGAATCCATGGGTCCCGGGTTCGATCCCCGGCTGAGACGACCATCGATGTGATGAGTATTTGGTGTTGTGCTTAGTAGGTCTTGGGTGTTTAAATATGTATTTATATGTCTATCTATCTATAATATGTATGTATATCCGTTGCCTAGTACCCATAACACAAGCTTCACCAGCTTAGTGTGGGACTAGGTCAATTGGTGTGAATTGTCTTTAAAAAAAAACTTGTAATTTTGTTAGGCCTCTAACGTTCGAGCAATTAACGGAATAATTATGGCTCCACTTCGAGTTCCATTTCGAGCGTACGGCGCTGGTTCAAATCGAGCCATTGTACGTTTATACTAATAAATATTTAAGTATGTTGTGTTGTGATTGTACAAATTAATACATACGCGAGTTACGTTCGGTGGCGGTTGTTGAAGCTGGGTAACAATTGGCATTAATCTTTTAAGACGTGAGCTTGACTTGACATGAGCATAAAATTAAGGGTAGGCCAGCTTTAGCAGATTCAAATTGGAAATAAAAAATATAGCAAATTGGGAAAAAGAAATATGTTTCCCTGACATTTCGTGTGTTTATATATTTTTGTTTTTATACAAGTAACTGATTAGCCTTCCGTGTCGAATGCATGTTAATTTTTAGTAGAACATGCTGGTTTCCTCACTTTCACCATAGCATCAATTGTTTATTATACATAGAATGCTGTGACTCGAAAGTACGACAGAGACAGCACTATTTCAAAAAATATAATATATAAAATAAATAAATCAGTGGCCCTACAGCCTTTTTAGGTCTGGACCTCAGATTTCTGGTTCTGTATTATGATCATTTGTCAATCTAATAGGCAAGTAGGTGATCAGCTTCCCGTGCCTCTAATGCCGTTGATTTTTTGGGTCTAAAGCCGGTTTTCTCACGATGTTTGCCTTGCCATATATATAAATTACGTGTCACGTTGTTTGTCCGCTATGGACTCCTAAACTACCGAACCGACGTCAATCAAATTTGCACACCGTGCGGTTAGATCTAACTCAAAAGATAGGATAGCTTACATTTCAATTTATACCCGCAATATTATTTTATTGCAAAATATTCGTTTATTATTTGATAGTCACAATTGTAACAGGTGGCGCTGTGTTGAAAGTACCAACGTTTCACATAAGCTGCAATTTAATGGCATAACCACCAAAAAAGCATGGTGGTCTCCATGACTGGTGTTCTCCTACCGTTTCCTTTGAATAGTTTACCACTATGTGACATAACAAAAACCTTAGCCACAGCAACGCTTGGCCGGTCTGCTAGTATTATATAAAATATATTATACACAGATTAGAATGTGCACAGCCACGATAATAGAACCCGCCAGTGACAACGACACAGTGCTACGTTTCTGTGCGGGTCTGATTACGGGGGTCTCGTTCGAGGCGGAGGTGTTGCGCGTACGCGAGCCCGGAGCGCTGCGCGTGCGCGTGGCGTATCCGGACAGGCGCGTGCACGCACTTCTGCCGCCCAGAGATCATTTGAGGCCGCTCGATCATCAAAATACCAGTGAGTGTCGGTTTCTCTTAACTATTTATCTTTGCGTGCAGTATTGATTATGGAAAAAATGATTATTATTGCTCGAACATTATATGGAGTTATTGGTGAGATACGCCGATTGTATCTGGAAAACTGGACCGAAAAATATTTTTAGTTTTTCCTTAATTTATACACTAAAGATTCTATGATTTTTGTCTTGAATTGAATGAAAATTGAAATATACCGTGTTTATACAATTCCTGCTAACTGAATTCAGGCTTCTAATTTTATCCATAACGAAGTTATATGGGGTCGAAAATGTCCTGAACTGCTTTGAGAAGAGGATGGTACGGCCGTGCGGCCAATTTGCTGGAATTGCCGTGCCTCCAGATGATAATTCTCGTAACTGTTAAGCGGGCCATAGACGGACCGCATGTTGCAGTCAAGACCGACTGCAATATGCGGTCGCCGCGCGGCGATCTGCAGTTTCCATACTAAATTCATATTCGCAATACACGGACCGCTCGAGCAGTTCCTGAGCAAACCGCATATTGCAGTCGGTCTTGACTGCAACATGCGGTCCGTCTATGGCCCGCTTTAGGCCATGTTTTATACAGATAGCCAAATCTTTAAAGTTTTGTTAACGGATTATCATTAACAAAATGATATTAAATATGGTTTTCGATTTTTTTGTTGTCGTTTTTAGATGACGATGGAACAGAAAATGTGCGCCTTCTAACAAAGGTCCTAATATCTCATGGAGTATGGACAGAGCCGTGCGGGGTTGATATATCTGTTTGTTTGGCAGTGGAAGAGGGGGGAGGCCGGGAGGCACAGCTCGTGGAGCTCTGTCGCCCCGTCAGGGTCACAGTGGCCCCTAAACCTATTAAACGCGGCATATAGATGTAGTGATTGTGGTATATTTACTGTAAATATATAATAAATTTTTAACGATAAACGCGAGTTTTATTCTTACTTTTCGGTAATCGAACCAAACTTGTAATGTGTCCTTAAAATAGTTTGGTGATTTATTTTAATTTCACTCAATTTTGTGACCGGGATATTTTTTAACGAAATCGCCACATCATAATTCCAAATAAATAAAACATTGCCATGGAAAAGCAATTATTATTTCTTTATTAAATCATGCTCCGTTGATGATCTGTCAAAACTTAATTAGCAATTCTCGTGGTGAATATAAATTTAAAGGTTGGGAATTAGCTGTATTAAAATAAGAAATGTTAGCTTTATCATCGGGATTGTTTAGGAAGCCGCCTCGAAACACCCCTTTAACCCCTACGGCCTACGTACAGATGTCTGGGCGAGGTTGCCAATTGCGGCGTTTTGAATAGCGCAAACGTTATGCGGTACTTTTGATTTATTTCAATATTCAAAAGGTTTGTGTTTAGTGTTTTTTCTGCAAGAGTCAGATAACTGTCACATAATGGGAATTTTACTAGTTTGTTTTCTATAGTTTATGGGATACAAAAAGATGAATAAAAAAAATAAAATCATATCTCTTAGGTAACTTTATTTCATATATACAAACATAGGTAAATAAATTGGCACATTTTATTGGAATTGTGAGAATAACTTTACATTAGGTTATGTTATTTTTGAAGTTATACTTCTTTAGGCGCGTTATGAAAAATTTATGAGAGTGAAATATTACGATGCGCGCGCACCGTGACACAAAATTAACAGAATGACGTTGCCCACGGAAGATGCTACGGCATTGGACTCAATTTAAAAACAACATTCGAATAATAATAGAATTTATGTTACACTTAATGTAAGAGAATAATAATAAATATTTATTTATTTAATTTTTCAAATGTAAACTGAACTTTATTGACTATAATGACTCCTTTTCCAGTCTTTGGTTATTTAATTGTAATTAATTATTTGCATGCAATCAAAAACTATTTTAAATAATGCCAAAGAAGTATAACTTCTTACGCGCGTACATAAGTACACGCACCCTTTTTTTGTTATTCATGATTACTGAAATGAAATGTATTATAATAAATAGGAAGTTAATTCTGACCGGATTCCTTGTTCAATTCACATTACAGTGTAAAATTACAACCAATTAACTCTTTCCTGATCAAGATGTCCTGGATTTGATTGCAGGTTGGTCACTTACATAATAAGTAGTATCGGTAACCGTTTTCATAAAATTGTTAAGGATTTGTACGGGTTTATGTATACCACATATTTTGTATTGCGACAGTATGTAGTGTACAATTGGTAGCGCCGAATCTTGTCGCGCGAAATAAAATAATAGCAACTGATTATGTTGAATTTCCTACATAAGGGACGTTCAAGTATTACGCAAGCAGATTAACTGCAATTATTCCCCCCCCTTCCTCTTGTCAGCAAAAGTAAGCAAAGCTCTCAAAAATAATAGTACCTAAACGTATTCATTTTTTGTAGGAATCCTCGAAAATGCATTTCGTATTCAAGCATAGACAATGTGTGTAATATGTGTAAAGAGTCAAATAATTACTGTTAACGTTAATCACCAAATATTAAATAAGAAAATCAAATACCCCGCACCCCTAGAGTGCTTACGTAATACTTGAACAGCCCCACACTCCTTAACTAGGTGATCGCAACATATACAAGACCTAAATTTTTAAAGATATTTCAACTTCTAGGATAGATCCTAGACAGTACACAGAGGTTTTTTTAATGACCCTCAATCGAAAATTACAGATGGAAAATGGAAGCTTGACAGACACAAAATACAGTTTGCTATAGATCTTTATTATTTACATAGCAGTTTTTAAGAATTTATTTTATTTTATGCACAATGATACATACACTATTATGTTTTGAATGAATATGATTATACATAAAAATAAATATTACATCATTTATGCTTATAATAGTTATTCTTTATCTATTGCTAATAATTCCGTTCGGGCTATGCAGTGATAGATAAGTTGTTTCACACCCGGCATCCAAGTACCAACTATACTGACATGGTCTACCATCAAGGCTTTGTGGATCTCATCAGCCTTGGAAGGGTTGTCATCCTTTAGGGCTGAAAGAACAGGAAATTATTTCACACTAACCAATCTGCAAGACTATGGACTTACATTAGAGACCTTAGCATGTCTTTATCTACATCAAGTATTTTATACATTGATGGAATAATGTCAGCTTGAGCATGTATATTTTTAAAATAATTTGTTAGTTTATTACACAGTCTATTCAAATGATCCCGTTCAGTTTTAAGTATGTTGGTAGATCACTTATTGACTTAAGTTTCCTGTACTATTTATCAAAAGTCAAAAATCATTTGATCATATAGGTAACACATCATGTTATTTAATTTAATGTATTATTAAAGTTAATGATTTTAAAGTTCCTCAAATCCTTCCTAAAAAGTGTTATTTTGAATGTTTTTATAATATGTACCAAAGGGTTGAAATTGCCTGCTGAATTTAACTAAAATCATCTTAATAACAAACAGTGATAATAATTATTGCTGTAATAAATTATTAAAAAACAATTGTTTAAATTTGTTACCTTGTGTTAGTTCCTGCATTTTTAACTGAACCTGTGCATTTATTTTTCCATTTGTCCACATATCTTCCATGGCACATATTTTCTTTCTTATACTCTCTACTTTAGTTCCCAATTCAGTACTGTTATTTAAAATATCTAACAGTGTTTCTTTTACATTATTTAAGGTTTTTTCACTATCAACCTGCATATTTTCTTCTGTATTTCCATATATAGTTTTTTGTACAGGAGGTAGCAATATTGGAGTAGGAGGTAATGCTGATAGCATTGGAGGTAATTTCATAGGAGCTGGGGGCAAATTATCGCCATTATTTGATAGTGGAAAAGCAACTCTTTTGTTTAATCGGGGTTTATTTGGTGTCGGCTGTTGCGCGTTGTATGTGAGAGTTGGTGGGTCGTTCCAACCAGGATCGAAAGACACTAAAATTTCAATTTATTAGTCGAAAATAAAACTATGTATTATATTAAAACTTAAAATATGCTTTGCTACACTACCTCTGCCATTTGATTCAGGAGGTTTATTGATGTTATCCATGACTAGTACACACTTAGTGATATAATGATAAAGTTCTGTTTTTCAAATTATTATGTATAGAAATACAGAAACAGAATGTCCTCTAATCTTTACTTCAATGCAATCTTATAGACTGTTAAGCGTTAGCAAGAAACTAGAAAGTGAAAGAAGAATTATTGCAAAACACTTGCAAAATTTGAAATTCAAACCATATTATATTATAAATTGAAACTTTTTCTATTTTGAAATGTGAAGTGTAACTTGATGATGTAAAATGATTTTGCTTACTTGACAATGACAGTAGGTATTAAATCAAATTATAATTTTGTCAGTTCACAGTTGACAGTTGTCAATACTTAAAAACAGCGAAGGGTCGACAGTCGACTAGTGCCGAAATTTAATTGATAAATATTTTTTTAAGCTAAAAAATGGTGTTTGTAAAATTATTTCACGTTTTTCCAATTGTATTTTTATTTATAATATGCATTTCCAAAATATCCAAAGGTGAGTTACTCAGGAATTTATTTTAAATGGAATTATTCTGAAGCGCGGTGTTGTTTACAACTGTGCATGGTTGATAATTACGTGGCCCAATGTTAGGGGCGGAATTTGAATGAATATATGTTACCAAACCCTGGAAATCGAATAGAAAAATAATTTTCTCTTATATATTTTAGCGTCACGGGCTGAATTTGTAACATGCGGCACAATGTTAAAGATAATGAACACGGATTTGCGTCTTCGTCTTCACTCGCACGATGTCAAATACGGCTCCGGTTCTGGCCAGCAGTCGATTACAGCTGTGGATGTAAGTGATGATCATAACAGTCATTGGCTAGTGCGACCAGCTATGGGTGAAACTTGTAAAAGAGGGTAAGTGTATTCAACTATTTCATGCTTTTCTTTTTTTTATTATTTGATTTTCTTGAACTTGTACATCATATATTTGACTCTACTTTATCTACATTGATATTTTTTTTATCTAGTGACATACACTATGTGGCAGACAGGACATCAAAGCGCTTCATATATTTTTCAAAACCAGTGACTACAACCCTTGATCTCGGCATAAGATTCTATACCTGTTGCATGTTCATTTGCTTTTTCCGACTTTGGATTTTTTCGGACTAAAGCTTGCTAGTTTCCTCACAATGTTTTCCTTACCTTGTGAGATTAAATGTGCATATAGACGGAAAGCACATAGGTGGGCCTGGAACTTATGACCTAAAGATGAGAATCACAGTGTTAAAGCCACTAGGTCAACATTGTTCTTTATATTAACTTTAAATTGTTGATAAAAATATTTTTTGTGATCTAGGTCTCCAATTAAATGTAATACCAACATCCGGCTTCAGCATGTAGCAACAAAGAAGAATCTACATTCACATTACTTCTCATCGCCACTATCAGGAAATCAGGAAGTGTCAGCATATGGTGATGATGGTGGAGAGGGTGACAGTGGTGACAACTGGACTGTTGTGTGCAACAATGACTACTGGAGAAGAGATACTCCAGTTAAATTAAAACATATTGACACAGCAGCGTAAGTAAAATTCTCAATAAATGTTAGACTAGTAGCAAATGATTGCAACAAATTTATTATTTCTAGTTTAGTAAGTTTTGTGGCAAGTATGTAAATATTAGTTAAAGCTAAATTTAATTTAATTTGTGGATATGTCTAGGCTTTAGAATCTTACAACTATTTAACTTTTAGGTATCTGGCTGGGTCAGGCAGAACATTTGGCCGCCCGATCAGTGGTCAAGGAGAAATAGTTGGTGTTACATCTCAATATGGGGCATACACTGACTGGCAAGCAATGGAAGGATTATTTGTACATCCCAGTGATCTATTACCACACCAAGCAGCAATACATACTGAATTATAGAACAATAATTGAAATTTTATGTTCATCAGATTACAATTTATATAAATTTTTCAAGGTTACCAAAGATTGAATTAATCATCACTGTCTACACCTCTGAAAAAACTTATTTATTATTTTTTAAGATGCAAACAATTTGGGTTCAATAGGACTAAACACAAATGTTTTTATTAAATCTTATAAGCAAAAGATGCTGCCGAATGATGCACAACTTTGTGAGAATAAATTGTGATACAAATAAATACACGAATTTTACTAAAACCTTTATTGTCAAGTATTATAACTACATGAGGTAATTACCCTCCGAGAAATGTTGCTAAAAATGCAGTGCTTCAACATCGAAAAGTTATCAAACTTACATCTTCCTATCAACAATGCTAATTCTAATGTTCAAATCTAGAAAAAAATAGCTAAGAAGTCTAAACTGATATTTCTGTGAATTTTTCATCAGAATTATAAGCAAGTTCTAATGTACAACTCCTTAACCACTCAATCATTTACTAACCCTGGCATCAAAATACCAACTTGTGACCGATACTATAAAGTACACAAAATGCAACCAATTATTATTAATTAAAAATAAATAAATGTACTTTTTTAATTTGGTCAATGGCAAAAACCTACAATTATTTGTAGTATTAGCATAAGACAGGAACTTTTGACTGTCTAAATTGTGAACATAAGAATTATTCCTTTCCTCCCAGATTGTACCAATTCATTGCATTGAAGCACACAAACTTAAAAAATAAGAGTTTATAAAACTAAAAACAATACAAAGGATCATTATATCGCACCAGTGTTTCAGTCATGATGCTTTTTGGATAAAAATATTAATGTAAGAGTGAAAATTTTAAAATAATTAAGAAATCTTAACTTCATACATCCCTCTAATGTGATGACCAATCATAATCTCTTTATGATAAAACTGTTTCTGAATTATAAAGAGATGGTTATAAGAAATTTATAAAGCATGCTAATGGTAAGATTAAAATTAAAGACTTAGCGCTAAGAACGACTTTCAGTAAAAACTTAGACTCGGCTTACTAGTGAATGATGTGAATAGAAACATTAGAATTTGATGAAATCTTGCTTAGCATGCTCTTAATAAATACTTAGGCCGGAAGGAGTATGCATTCTAAGTTGAGACTTAGCCCTAAGTATTACTCGCGTATTATGTCATATCCAATATCATAATCTTACTTTAAGTCAACTTTACAAATTTCAGGTAACCTTGTAATATTAAAAAAACCAACCAGTGGAATGTGGAACAATGTTCTAAAAATTCTTAGTAAAATTGATCGCTAATATGAAATAAGTTGGCATTTAGGGACCAAGTCTGCTATTCTTTACGATATAGATCCAAATAATTTGATTATTTCTCAGTCATTATAAGGTAAATTTTGCGTTAGTTATATACAGGTTTTTTTACACAACTAACTTAATACAAATAAAAAGTTAATATTGAAAATTAGATTTAAATTTAATTGGTGCTTGCAACCCAAACTTTTATTATTATAAACCAAATTTAGGGTTTTTTGTACTTTTACAAGTACATATTATAATCTAAGGCACTTGCTGAGATATAATATAGTTTTATTGGTATTTGTTTTAAAAGAAAAATTGCTTGAGTAAATTTGCTATCACCACACACTTTCACTTCGGGTATATTAAAAAATTACCTCCGGCTATAATGCTATCTACTAAATGTTGAATGATGCGAAATTGCCGAACTTAGCAGTATTTGAATATTAGCGTCGAGCATATTAATTATATCAAGTTTTTCAGTAAATTTCCTGTAAAATAAATTTAGCACTGAAAGATATCCAAAATTTATTCAGTACATTTTTATAACAGACTCGCCCTCTTTACTTACGAAGCTAATTCGATCGTCTATTGGAACCCAATAAAAAATTAACCGGGTAACATTAAAAATATCTAAAAATATATTTCAAAATCTAATTTAACATAACTTGTTCGTTAAAATACTGTTCATTTTTTCTAAAGCATATTTGAGATTTGTGTAGAGTTTCTTGTCGCAGCCGTGTTCCTCGATCGTTGCAAATCTGAATGTTCTGAAGTTTTTCTCTACATCTATGTATGTCACCGCTTGCATAAGCGGACACAGAATGATCTTTGTGTGGTCTTGGAAGTTTATCTGTAAAAAATATTGAAGTATTGTTAAATGTCTATCACAATTAGTATTTATGATACATTGTTTAACAACCAACAACATCAAACCTTCAGTCTGACCTTAAGCCAGGAGGCTAAGGTCGGAATTACTCTGCTTGCGTGTTTTAGGGTAAAACATCATCATAGTAATTGTAGGTGTCGCTACACAAATTAACCTCTTTTCTCTATGAAAGTGACAAATTAAATCCAAGGAGTTCAAACTGTTTAAATTAAAAATAAAATCTTGGCGAAAGTATTTAATTTACTAGAAATTTACTTAAAAGTAATGGCTTTGACTACATTTGGTTCTTTTATTTTGGTATTTTTATTTAAATGAAGGAAACATAATCAAAATAATTTACCTGTAGTGTGCCATTGGTCAGGTACATGATAACGGCCAAAGTGGTTCTAAACCATTGGTGGAGGTGAGGCAATCGAGACAGACCGTCACTTTCCCGCACTGACACCGATGCACCTGTAACACAAGTATGTTTGTGTATTTAAAATCAAACCGACTACTATCAACTGAATCTTATTAATTATCTATGTAACTTATATATATGCCCACTCCCGAGTTTGATGGATACCCGATACCCATGTCTTCACCGAGTACTAAACTGATTTTGATGAAACTAGGTTGGGAAAAATAGATAGATTATCTGAATGCAATTTAGTTTCCGAGAAAATTGAAAATGTAGCATTGCATACAATACATTGATACCGATTGGTATCAATGTATTTTTGTGTGGCTTTAAAGATTTAATAAAAAATAAATTCAAAGCAGGTGAAAAATCTATGTATTCCAGAATCACCTTTATTTTTGTCTGGATGATGTTAATACCATATTATGAAGGAAGGAATAGTATAAAAGACAAGACATAAGCCTCATACAACTTTTAATTTGTATAAAAGCTAAAAATATATTTTTTTATTATACTATATGTAACTACATCACACATTAAAAAAATATTAGAAAGATGCTACATTATCTGAGTAACAGGTATTTATTTTCAGAATATAAAAACCGTTCAGCTTTGGTTGAGTGTGAGCTATAATTTATGCATGAAAACAATATTTACCTGCTTTCATAAGATGTTCAGTCATGTATCTTCTGAAATAGGTCAAGAGTTTCATCTTCTTCTCCAGCTCCGATGGGTATTTGTGCATTGTCATATACTGCTCTTTGCCTTGTCGGTCAATGTAGTGGACGGTACTGGAATTATTTTATATAAATGAAAATATGGCCTTTTGTAGTATCAAATTAGTAGTTGTTTAATTATTTCGTAATCCTACAGCTAACATAAATGATATATAATAACAAACAGTTACACTGAAAATATAGTCAGAGATGAAAATTTACAAAAGGAAACAATTTTTATTGTTTATTTTAATGTTATTTAGCTATTTTAAAAAAAACGTTTTTTAATTTAACTTAGTGAATTTCTTTTCCTTGTTTCTAACATACAACATATTAAATTGATTCATTAGAAGAGACAACCTAGTATGGTATCCTCAATTCTCAAAATATTTATGAAAAAATTGATATACAGTCAAACCTGGATAAGCGAGAGTTCAAGGGAGCACAATCTCATTCTCGCTAATAGAGGTTTCTCGCTAATGCCGGTACATGGGTAGCGTTTCTCTCTTATAGGGGTACGCAGCAATAACAAGTCACAGCAAGTACTAATGTAGTAAATATGTTATATGATAAAATTATGTGCATAATGTGCACAACATTATTATGTACATATATATTTTATTTTATGTAGAACTTATTTACACTTTAAAAAATCCTGAATAAATGAAAATGTCAAATTTGTAATTTGTTACTGTATGTGTGTATGTTTATTGTAGCTATAGTTCCTCCTAAATAATATAAATAAATTAAAGCTCGACTGTCACTTATAGAGGTATAGATAAGTAGCAGTCTCACTTACGGAGGTCCATGAGGGAGAAACGACTCTCTCTTACAGAGGTTTCTGTTTCTCGCTAATAAAGGTTTTGGGAGCTTAAAATAACGGGTCCTGGCTATTACTCTCACTTATCCAGTTCTCACTTACCCAGGTTTGACTGTATATATTTTTACAAAAAACACCTATGCTTTGAAAATTTTCAATGTACCAACACGCCTTTTTTATAAATATTGTTGATATTTCAGGGACGAACAGGGCTTGTGACGGCAGCATGATATGAATTCTTTATTCATAATCTACTTAATGGATAATTTTTAAGTTTAAATTAAGTAGCTATGTTAAACATGTATGGTAACCAATTAACGCGATTGATAAATTTGTAACCGTAAAAATTCGTTAAAAAAAGATATATTTAAATCCGAACCAGATAAAATATACTCACACTCCATTAGCAAGCATAATAAGCTTGGTTGTATCATTGAACATGACTCCAACACTTTCATCACACAATTGGTATCCGAAGCCATATTTGTCACTATAGTCAACCCACTTCCCGACCCACACCAATGGCTGAGCTGCAGGGTCACTCAACTCGTCAGTCAGGCACTCGGGACGACATTTCAGCTGAAAGAGCATTATATTATTAAGTTAGACCCGTAATGGGGCGTGGAAAATTTTAATTGATCACGTAAGAAATTATTTTTATATATTGGATGTTTCCAGTCACCAAATCATTTTGGCCTCTATTCACGACAATCTTTAGTTGTTTCGGTTTCTTTCATAATTTTATTTGTGGGTGGCCCAAAAGCCAATTGCAAAAAAAGTATAATTACAAATTCAACATTCTATTTTGTGATATACAATTTAAGTCAGCTGTAGGAAAAGCAAAAAAAGATAAATTGTACTAAAAGTAAATCAGTAGAATCCAAATTTAACAAATTCATCCAAAAATAATTTTTTTTCCTAATAGGCAAGAGACCATAAAGGCAATTCTATTTAAAATTGTGGGCAATTATTACATTATTACTATGATGTATATGTAGCAACACTCATCCCTGAGGTCGTAGGTTCGAACCCTGGCTGTGTATTAGGGGCAGTTTAAGTATTACGTAAGCACTATAGGGCGAAGGGGGGATTTTGATTTTCTTATTTGGTGATTACGTCAACAGTAATTATTTACTTTTTTACGCATTGTCTATGCTTGAAAACGAAATGAACGGCCCCTTAGACTTTAAGTGCGTATTTAACACTCGATCGTATGGTAAACGTAAGCATCGTGATAAAGCCGGCATGATTTAGACTCAAAAAGTCGAAGGCGTGTGTCAGGCACAGAAGACCGGTCACCTACATGCCTATTAAAAGTAATGATCACGAAAGAGATACATAAATCTGAGGTCCAAACCTAAAAGGTTGTAATGCCATAGTTTTTTTTATGTATGTATTTTACTCGCAATAGCAAACAAAATTAAATTTAGATATTATAAATGTATTTTTTGAAGTTGTACTTCTTTAGGCGCGTTATGAAAAATTGATGAGAGTGAAATTTTACGATTGCGCGCGCACCTATGACACAAAATTGGCAGTGTGATATAGCGTGCGCGAGCGAGATGGGAATAAGACAAACTACAAGTAAAAAGAAATAGAATATGCGTGAAGCTAACTTCACGCATATTCTAGCTTAGCAGCTTAACAAGAATTTTGAATGACCATGACAATTGACATCTGACAATGACATTTACCTTTTAAACAAATATAGGAGTTTTAATTATTGTTTAAATTTTAAAATTAATAATTATATACCTAGTTATTTTCATTATACAAAATATTTGTGAAATAATATAAAATATTTGTGAAAAAACTGTGCTAACCTTCCTGAGTGCTTCAATACAATTGAGGTTAACTATCCGTATGTATTATCGAGTATTATTGTTGATTAAAACTGAAACATGAACCATTATTCATTGCTTTTGTTTATTGCGTTTGTTACAGCAACTTTTTAGAAATATTCTACGACCCTATATATCAATAACTGAGAACAAAGATTTAATAAGCACGAATACTAATAAGGAGAAAATGAAGGCTTGGAGCGATATAACAGAGAAGTAAACATTTTAATAAGTACCTGCATCTCAAAAAAATGACCACATTATTTAATCAAAACATCAGATTTAATCTAGCAAATATAAGGACAAGAGACAAAAAACAATTGATGAATCAGTGGAAGTGCACTAAATTGAATACAAAAAAGAGTTGTCATCTTATCGCCGTGAAACATCAAAAACTGGAGGTGGAACAAAGCCACCATCACCTTCTCGAGACACAATGGTTTGAAGTAGATTTCAATGAATTTGATTGTGATGGTGTCGAGGTAGGAATGTTAATTATAAATATGATGTATGGTGATGTTCAAGGTTCAACCTTTCAAGCATAGGCATATGCTTACAACATTACTTTATTCCCCTACAGGGTAGTTAGAGATATTGTAATACCTCAAAACATCCATGTTGCACTTGTAGTACCGAAACTCTGTCCTGCCAGAAGTGAGCCCATTCCCACTTATAATGGACAGTGGGTATAATACACCTTAATACCTGAGTGCGAACCACTCACCATGATACTTAAATTAATAGATGTTATTTATATATTTCAGGTTATTACAAATAAAATCATTTTGGAAACAATTGATATCCCAAAAGCAAATAAAGCCAACAATGACAAGGTAATAAATCAGTTTTGACATAACTTGAATACTAAAAAAGCCAAACAAAGGTGTGCACAACAGTGACAACATAACTTAACAATTTCATTATTTTGTAGGATTAAAGAAAGGTTAAAGAAAATCATGTCGAACTGAACAACAAGAATCCCCAAACAACTCCAAAGAAACCTACAAGGAAGACACCGGTATTATATTTAAATTATCTCTATCTCTAAATAGAATAAAAGAAAGTTGCTATCCAGGTCTGTAGCATGTGCTACAAATTATATTATTAACACATTTATATAATTATATTAATATAAATGTGTTAAAAATTTATAATATGAATTATAAAAAATTTTAAGTTTTGCATGGACAGAGCTTAAATTAATATTCTCTTATTTGTTGCAGAAAGCAAGTAGTTTTGGAGAAGCCTCGTAGATGCACAACCAAGTAATGATTAATTTAAAATTACAAACCGAAATTCTGATGAAGACATTAGAGTCACTTAAAAATAAATAGTATAATGAAATAAAAATGTTTTAAAGATAAATAGTGTTTTATTTGTTTAATGTAAGAGAATAATAATAAATATTTATTTAATTAATTTTTCAAATGTAAACTGAACTTTATTGACTTTAATGACTCCTTTTCCAGTCTTTGATTATTTAATTGTAATTAATTATTTGCATGCAATCAAAAACTATTTTTAATAATGCCAAAGAAGTATAACTTCTTACGCGCGTACATAAGTACACGCACCCTTTTTTTCATATAGGGAAGAAAGACTTTTTAGTACCAAATATATTTTTTAACTTTTTAAATTCGTATTAGGGAGAGCGTTCAAGTATTACGTCACGAAATTTTTGGAGATTATTAACCCCCAAGTAGCGCGCCGTAACGTTTTTCTGTACCCATTAGTAAAACGTTTCGTGACCACCAAAGTGACTATTTATACCTAAAAGTTACCATTACGTGGTGTAAAGTACTGAAAAGTCGAAAATAATATTAACAATAACGCGTAATTCAATCCCCGCCCCGCATCGTAATGTTTTACGAAAGGACCCCCCTCAAATTGGTTACGTAATACTTGAACGCTCCGAATATATATAATTCAGTGTAAGTAAATAAAAAGTACAAATGATGAATGAATTCTATTTAATAGAATGGCAATTACCTTGCCAGTGAGCAACGAAGCAATTTGGTCCCGAAGCGCCATAAGGTTCTGCCTGTGTCCGGTGGATTCCACTGCTCGGAGCTCTTCTGGTGGTTGGGGCTTCACTGGCGAATCTACCGCCATCATGTCTGTAAAATTTACATGTATATGATAAACCCTTTAAAAAAATATTTTTGTATCAGAATGTCCTTTTATCTAATTGATTTATAAAATGCCGAGTATTTGAAATCCTGTTATAGGAAATAGCGAAACATTTTTGTCGAGTATTCCAATTTTTTTTTGGTTGAAAACTTTAATTTTTTCAATTAGAAAAAGGATGGCAAGCTATATTTCCGTTTAAATTAAATAAATGTCTTACGCATTGTCATAGGGACAAATATTAAAAAAAATTACGTCAAAGACAAGTAAGTGCGCGGGCGCACTTCGGGGAGATGGGGAGGAATTCGATTTGATGTTAAAGACCTAGGAATAGAAAATTGCACACCGTCATAGTCGTAGAATAGTAACGGATCTGACAAATAGTAAACTTTACAGGGCAGCCATTTCAAAATAATACAATCATGTTAGTTTTTGTCATAACTATTTTAATTCATATTCTATTATTATGAAAATTGGCATACAAGCAATTAAAAGGGTTTGTTTTTAAACAAAATAAAAATAATAACATGAAATTACACAGTTTTCTAGAAAAATTGCATGTTTCTATCAAATCCGTCACTTTACCGACGGATTAATTTGAAATTTAAAACACATGGAATATTTAGTCAATGCAATATCCAAATATGATAAAAAGTGGATTTTGATTTTTTTTCAAATCCCACATTGTTCTACGATCATGACGATAAATTTCAAACTTACCATTACTGTTGACTTCATTCAGCGGACGTCTATGTATCGGCTCTCCCTCGATCAACTGGTCAAGCCGAGGAGCTGTGGTCAGACAAGAAACTGGCAGAGCCGCTGGCATTATCCCGGATGAGAAGAACTCATGCTGGAGCAATTTGTCCACAGAGGGCCGGAGAGTTGGGTTCGCTTGGAGCTGCAGGACTATCATTGAGGCAGCAGGCTTGCGGAGAGCCGATGGAATTCTGAAATTGTTATTCTATTTATGGAGGACCATGGGACCACGACCTTCCTTTATTAAATATAGTGTATACTTGAGGCCTGAGCACGATCTTGTAAAATTTATTAGGTCAACTTTACAAAGATTATAATGAAAAGTAACTGTTTAATTTTGTGTTGGAAATTTAAGCCGTCCGTGGGCGTGTTTAGAACTTGTAGGTACATAAGTTCTAAGGACATGCTTAGTGCTTGTTCACGTTGGAAAGCGCTGGCGCGGCGGCGGGTGCGGGCGCGGAGAAGTGGCGAGCCCGCACGTGCGTTTCGTATGTGAACAAGTACTAAGTTTGAAGAGAACGCGTGAACAGTAATCCCCCCTATAACGCGACAACCCCCCCCAGTATAACGCGTTTTTTTCCCATATTACGCGGTATTTCTCAAGATATTTCTCATTTCTGTAGTGTGACATTTATAATGATTTGTCAAATCTGTAACTAGTTTTGCGTACCTTTGCATTCAACTGGTGTTGGAGGTGTTTAAGGGGGGGAGGGGGTCGAGTCAAATCTCATTTAATCTTACGTTGGAGAGAGGGGGGGTCTCGGCAAATATCACGCAATTTTTTTTCCGATTTAATTTTTTTTTAGGAAAACGGTTTACCCTAAATGTCACCTCTGCAACTTTCCGCTAACTCCATACCTAAACGCTCAACATTTCACTTATTTTGTTTTAGTCATAAATAAATAACTTAATTAAATTGGTGTCCTAATTTTTGAATTGTTAAAAAAACAGTTTTACGTGAATACTCCTACAATTGTCTATAACGCGTCTAACGCGTTATAGGAGAGATTACTGTACTATACAAATATTTTATATTAGCATCGTGAAGGCCCAGGTTCGATTTCATTGCAGGTACGTAAAAGTGACCGAATAACTAGACGCCAAAAGTAAATTACATCCTTCAGTGAAGTGAATAATTTACTAGTTTTATTACTTCCTTCTATTAATATTAACTAATTTTTAGGCGAAAATTGATTACAATGTCTAAGCTACATAAGTTAAGTGTGGTTAAGGTGAAATGAATCATGATCTGTGCAAACATTGAATGGTACAACATCGTTAGCAGAATATTAGCCTACTATGTTAAGTACTTTACCCTTAATTGGTATTCAGATAGACCAATTTCATTTTGTTAAACAGGTCTTTATGAATGAAATCGTCGAAAACCATATCTTAGGCCCTTTCTCCACTGCTCCGGTCCGGCGTCAGATACCGGAATGAGTCATGAGAAAAATATCGGAAGGCCGGATTGCGCTTCTCCACTATATCCGATCCGACAATAATCGTTACTTGTATATTTACATGCAACACTTATATTAACTAAAACCCATATACTTTATTTTATTAATATAACGTTCTAAATTCTGAATATTTTATTGCTCTGGCAAGTTTATTACTTTTTTTATATTGTCTATCTTAAAATATTATAATCTACTTAATAAATAGTTCACTAATACTGTTGGTTTGGTCCAGGTTATCCAGATTCTTTCAAATTAAAGAAAGTATAAATAAACCTGTGAATAATAATTTATAACCTCTTGGATACTTCGATTTTTTTTTTTTTTTTTTTTTTATAGAACGGGGGCAAACGGGCAGGAGGCTCACCTGATGTTAAGTGATACCGCCGCCCATGGACACTCTCAATGCCAGAGGGCTCGCGAGTGCGTTGCCGGCCTTTTAAAAATTGGTACGCTCTTTTCTTGAAGGACCCTAAGTCGAATTGGTTCGGGAATACTTCAGTGGGCAGCTGGTTCCACATAGTGGTGGTGCGCGGCAAAAACTGCCTTGAGAAACGCTCAGTTGTGGAACGTCGGACGTCGAGGTGATACGGGTGGAATTTCGTATTCTGCCTCGACGTCCGATGATGAAACTCAGCTGCAGGTATTAATCCGAACAACTCCTCTGAACACTCTCCATGGTAAATGCGGTAGAAGATGCAGAGTGACCCCACATCTCTACGCAACGCCAAAGGATCAAGCCGCTCGGAGAGGGATTGGTCGTCAACGATTCGAACCGCTCTGCGTTGTATACGGTCAAGTGGAAGGAGCTGGTACTGGGGAGCCCCCGCCCAGAGGTGAGAGCAGTACTCCATGTGGGGCCGAATTTGCGCTTTATATAGTTGCATGCGGTGGCCCGGAGTGAAGTACCGTCTCGCCTTGCTGAGCACACCAAGCTTTTTGGAGGCTAATTTAGCCTTTCCCTCCAAGTGACCGCGAAACTGAACGTCGCTCGATATGTCAACGCCAAGTATTCCAATGCTGGCTGTGGCTTTAAGAAGAGTGTTTTCGAAAAGAGGAGTAGCGACAAAGGGTGTTTTTTTAGCGGAAAACGCGCAAACTTGTGTCTTCTTGGGGTTAAATTGGACTAGGTTTTGTCTGCCCCAATCTGAGACTCCACGAAGTAGAGTTTCAACTTCAGACACAAGTTTGTTCCGGTACTCATCAACAACTGCCCGAGAAATACCTGCCCGGCCAGTGTAAAAAGTATCCCCAGTACTGTCATCCGCATAGCAATGAATGTTGCTAAGTTTCAACATATCATTGATATGCAGAAGAAATAGGGTCGGGGATAGAACACAGCCTTGTGGGACCCCAGCGTTTACGGGTTTTAGGTCGGAACATGCTCCGTCGATGACGACCTTGATGCTCCGATCGGCCAGAAAGCTGGAGATCCAATTGCGTAATTTCTCGGGAAGCCCATAGGCTGGAAGCTTCGAGAGCAGTGCTCTGTGCCACACCCGATCGAAGGCTTTCGCTATGTCCAAACTAACCGCTAGCGCCTCCCCCTTGGACTCAATTGCCTCTGCCCATCTATGTGTAAGGTATACAAGGAGGTCACCAGCCGAGCGACCACGACGGAAGCCGTACTGAGAATCGCTAATCAGCTGGTGGCCCTCTAGATACCTCAAGAGCTGGCTGTTAATAATGGTTTCCATTATTTTGGAGAACAAGGAGGTTATAGCTATTGGGCGATAGTTGGACGGATCAGAGCGATCGCCTTTTATAGGGATCGGATGTATCAAAGCGGTCTTCCAGCACTTCGGGACAGTGCCGAGCGAGTACAGGTACCGGAAAAGGCGCGTTAAGACCGGAGCCAACTCAGGAGCACAAGTACGCAGCACAATTGGGGGGATACCATCCGGCCCGCTCGACTTATGAATGTCCAAGGAAGATAGTGCTTTGCGGACAGCACGTTGCCGGAATGTGATTTCCGGCATCGAAGAATCACACCGCGAAATGGTCGGTGGTGATCTCCCTCGGTCATCCAAAGTCGAGTTAGACGCGAAGAGACAGCCCAAAAGGTCAGCCTTCTCCTTCGCAGTGTGGGCCAGAGAGTCATCCTCCCTGTGCAGTGGCGGAATGGCGGGCTGACAAAAATTCCCTTGGACAGCTTTGGCGAGAGACCAGAAGGCTCGAGTCCCTGATGGGAGTAGGGCCAATCTCTCGCCAAATCTGGCAATGTGCTCTGACTTTGCCTTAGTGATTTCCCGTTTGAAGGACCTGGAGGCTGAGTTATATGCTTTTTTAAGTTCGCTGGTATTGGCATCACGAGATTTCGCCGCTTCCGCCCATGCCTTAAAGCATTCTCGCTTTCGACGCGAGGCCGCCTTGCAAGAACGTTTAAACCAGGGCTGAGACTTGCCACCGATCGGCACCGCAGAAAATGGAATAAAGAGTTCCATGCCCTGCAGAACCACTTCGGCGACAGAGGCGGCGACGGAATCTGGAGCTTCCGGCGAAAAGCACATAGGCCCCCAAGGGTAGGACGCAAAGAAAGACCGCATCCCGTCCCAATCTGCTGACTTATAGTGCCAAATACGGCGACAACCCATAAAGCGGGGCCGTGAAGGGCGCGTAGATGGCACAGTACTCCGGACCACACAATGATCTGATGAACCCAATGGCGGGTCAACAGAGACTTGATAGTTCTCCGGATGAGAAGTCAGCAGAAGGTCCAACAAAGAGGGTTTATGACCATCCACATCTGGTATTCGCGTAATCGCAGGGACCATTTGTGTCAGGTCGTAGGCTAAAGCAAAGTCGTGAAAGGATCTTCCCGCGTGATCGGTGGTTTCAGAGCCGAGCCAATCGGCATGGTGGGCGTTAAAATCGCCAAGTATCACGATTTCAGCGGTAGGAACCCTTTCGAGCAGGGAATCTGTAGCCATTTGGATGTGCTCAATGAGTCGGTCAGTTTCGGTATTTCCGCTATGGGACCTATACAGGCATGCGTAGAATCGCGGATGGTCATCGCAGTCTACGCGCAGCCAGAGGTTAGATAGGTCCCTTCCTTCAAGCGTCCCGAGGCGACGAGAACAGATATCCTCTCTGACGTACACGCAAACTCCAGCCCGCGGCACAAATGAATGTTCCAATTTGTACCCCGGGTAGGATAGGTGGGAAGTATCAGCCGGGGAGGATATCTGAGTCTCGGTAAGAAAGAGCAAGGCCGGCTTCGCAGTCTCTAGATGATAGTGGACAGCGTTGATGTTAGAATTAAGCCCCCTAACATTTGTGAAGTCCACGGCGAGTGTGGACGGGGGTGCCTTTGTATAATTGCTCCGTTTGCCCCGAGGACGATTACTATTTTTGTAGAGCGCAGAATTGCCCCCCCCCAGAATACGAAGGGCAGCCTGTGCGTCCACCGCCTTCCTATCTAAGAAGTTATCGGATCGTTAAAAACCGGATGCCGGAGTAGTGGAGAAGCACGTAAGTACTGTTGTGAGTTTCTAAATCGGATCGGTAATTAACGTTTGCCGGACCGGAGCAGTGGAGAAACGGCCTTACAACGAAGAATCGAAGTAAGGAGCACATATAATCATACAATCGTGAAACTGACGTAAAATTGCCTAGAACGTGTCAGGGTTTTAGGAATCGGCACATAGCACGAAATATATAAGCATAGTCAAGGGTGTCGCCAGGACGGGGCAGGCTGTCCCAGAAAAAAAAACTGTTTATTAATTATTAATAATTGTTTACTCTACAGTGTTTCCTAACGAGGCGCTACACCCCACAGGGGGGCAATTTGATTGTTATAAAAATTATTTGGAAATAGAATTTAAAGTTTTTCATTTATATAGTTTACTAACTGTGTATCGTTAAGCTTAGGTTTCCTAGAAAAGCGGTGCCGCTAACTAACGGCCGTCATTTTACGGTTATTAACATAATGAAATAAACAATAACCTCTTCGCTCGTCCAATTCACATTTCCACTCATTGTATTAAATTAATATGGGCACCACTATGACGGCCGTCATGCAAATGACAGCACCGCTATTTGACGTTACGGTGACACAACGTTCTCTAGGAAACCTACTCCGATGTTATTTATAAACTACGTATGGGTGACGTCACCCAACGCTACATTACGGCCGTTAGATAACGGCACCGCTTTTCTAGGAACCCTAAGCTTTAGCTACTTCGTAGTAATTTCCGCCCAAAACGGAAAAATATGATAGGTATCATTTGTTTCTTCAATTTAACGATATTTTTTAAATAAAAGTTATGTATGTTGAATAGAGGCAAGGCACAAAAAAAAGGATTGTGTGGTTTTATGAAACCACGGTAAAAGTGAAACTTTTTTTCACATTATAGTCATTTAACTAAAATTTTATGGAATATTATTCCATTAAGGGTATAAAAATCGCTTTATCAATCTTAATTTTATACTTGGAAAATTGGAATGATAATGGGAAATAATAAAATAATAATAATATTTTTATTGAACTCTGTGTCTTAGAGAGTTCGTCATACATAATACTTAACAATTATTTAGATAATATACACATATTAAATAATAGTCTATACACTACAAAGTCAGCTGCTGCGAACTATAGGCGCCGCCATATTGGCCTTGGCTGCTATGACGAGCGCCTTTCACTTTATCCCTACTCCGCGGCCGACTGTCACGCGACATGCAACACACAGACGAAAAAGTTTGACACGATGTAATAAAAAGTTTCACTTTAAAAACGTTGGGAAACACTGCTCAAACTCTATAGCTACTTCTAGCCCCTGCCCCACTCAACAATCATCCGGCGACGCCCTTGAGCTTAGTTAAGTTACACAAAAGCGTCCCTTCACCAATGTGTAACAAATATAACCTGTATTCTTGTCTAAGTGTGTTATTGTTGATAACGGCCTGTGCGTATCGTGCACCGAGGGTTTTCCATGGGCCACAACACACCTCTATTGCCATGCTTATCCCCTCACTGTGCGGCAAGGAATATTAACCCATAATTTATATAAATAACTAAGAACTAAATAAAATGTATCTATACTAAAAAATATTCTAAGTAAATCAACTGTAATCGTCCTAAATTCTTTAAAGGGAACAGCTGATAGTTTATTTATTAAAGTTTACCACATCATAATGCTATATCTACATTATATGTTACAATCTTTTGTAATTATGGTAAACATATATTACAAAAAATACACTACACTGCCAGTTGTAGAAATTATTTAACAATAAGCAAAAAATTACTAGTAAAATAGCAGATTAGACTTTTAAAATTGAATAGTTTAGAACAAAAGACGAATTGTTTCCCAAATGTTTCGTCTTTCATGTAACTATGTTACCAAGATTATTTGTATTATTCTGTTACAGGGAATATAATTCAAATGCAACAGTAATATTATCATGAGATTAAATACTCTTTTTATGTAATCGGGTATTGGAATTTATGTAATTGGTGTTCTTGCAAGTCATTCTATCTAAATCTGACTCATCATCAATCTAACAGGATCATAATTCCTGCTATATGTCAAATTATATATATACAATGAAGTCTATAATAGATATTTTATACAGGGCGGCCTTAATAAGACAAGCAAATTTGGAAGCTTGCCAAGACTAAATGTGAATGGAATAATACCCAATTGGTAAAAAAAGTTTAAAATACTAGTACACTGATAAGTATCGCTTAATTTATTCACTAAAAAAAAAACAATTTACTGTTATAAACCTGTTTTGGCCTTTATCACTTGTGTTTAAATAAATGACATTTTACAAATAAATTTCTCTGGATTATTTCTATTAAAACTGGCAATGACTTAAAAATATATACAAGTGCGAACACTATTCCACGGCTATTAGATGGGATAACATAATTTTCCTAAATATTTTTTCATAAATACCTAAGTCACTTGCTACATTGATTTATTTTGCTAAAAATTATAATTGGTTTGGTACGACATCAGTTACTCATTAAAATTTCTTTAATTATAAAACTGGTTTAATCTAGTCACGCCTACAAAATAATAATATCCTTCACTTACTTGTATTCACACTTCTTAATTCTCTTGTATGTATCTTGAAGTGTGGATGTCTCAAACGGCGGTTTGCCCACAAGCAGCGTATACATAATACAGCCTATGCTCCAAATGTCAACTTCAAACGAGTGTCCCTTCTTAGTCAAAATCTCTGGTGCAATGTAATTTGGTGTACCGCAAACAGTCTGCTTTCTCTCTCCTATTAAAATATAATTTTCTTATAACTTACATACATACACTAAAAAAAGTACAACTTTCACATGACAGAGATGTTTTCTGAAAGCATGTGCATAAGTTCTTATAAAAATTAATGAAATTGCTATCACTCCCTATATACTTATAAATTTTATAAATAACAAAACCATTTTGAAGTTGGTTTATTAGTAAAGGGTGTTATGCCCATCAAAGAGACATACATTTTATGCATTGAAACATATTAAGCAATAAAACACCATAGTGGGTTAAAGTCTAAGTTCAAATCAAAACAATTTAGCCGGGTTCACATTCACATGACTATACATAGTGTAAAACTCCCCATACACAAGCAGATTTAATTTCCAACTAAATTATGTTTGTTGACACAAACACACTAATTCATATATCACAATTGGTTCAGTTGTTTTTGAGATATAAGTGTCCAACACATGTCTGAAGGCAACATATTATATTACAAGTTATATATAAATAGTACTAAGTATGTTTGAATAAGTTACCTTCATATTCAATTTTGGCAGCTAGACCAAAGTCACCAATCTTAACATGCAAGTCGTCATCAAGGAAGAGATTGCCCAATTTCAGATCTCTGTGTATAATACGCTTATGGTGCAAATACTGAACACCAAGCAATATTTGGTGCATGTAAAACCTTGTTTCCGGCTCAGTCAAGGCTTTTCTCCTCTTGTGCAGTTCCATCATCGACTGTAACATAACAGTTAATTGAAACCTAGATCTGAAAACTTGACATAGGCTTTACAACTTTGTTTAAAAACAGACTGTATAAGTGTTTTATTTTTGTCTGTTGCATAGTTATTAATATCCTGAAAGCTGTATGCATGGACATATGATAAAATATATCATATATTAGGTCTATGCTTTGTACTACTTTGTCACATCAACTTCCATTCAGGAAGTATAAAGTTAATAAAAAAATTAAATAACTCTCTTGTCACATGAGGACTTACCCGTTTTTTACATAGCTCCAATAAAATATATATGTTCTGGGAATCTTCAAAGAAATTGTGGAATCCCACCACATGTTTATGTAGAAGTGATCTATGGATGGAGATCTCTTGAGCAGTTTTCTCTTTTTGGGTCTTTTTTACAAGCAGTTTTTTGGAAACCACCTTGCCTGCCCATACTTGCTCTGTAGCAAGATCTTGCATTTCGTAACATTTTGCGAAACCCCCCTAAAATAAATTAATTGTTTTTTAATTAAGAATGTATTCTAGTGGACAAATGTATGTAGATTACAATTTTAAATTATGATAACAAGCTGAAGCAACAAGTATCCATCCTTTTACTAAGTAGTAAATAAGCAATAAAAGATATAAATGCATTTAGTTGTATTGATTTTTTTATACCTATATATAATTTATGCACATTCATTGATTAATTTCTATAATACATCATACCCATTCTTAATAGAACTCTAGTATGTTTGAATAAGCATTTAGGTTATTAGGAAGTAAAATTTGATGTTAATGGTTTTTTAGGTGTTGAACAATTAGAGCAGGTGCAAATCGAGATTATTTTAATTTATAGTAATAATTTAAAATTAGATATACTACGTTTTAAATGTACTAAAAATTGGTAAACGGGTAGAAATTCATTTGCATCACGAAAAAACTCAAGCCGTTAGAAGTTAAAACTATTACCACTAGATGCTAACCTCTTATATCAGTTTGCTTATAATTAAACTTTGAAAGAAAGCTTGCAAAGTTAAGCTAAAATATAATTTAATTGAACAAAATTTACACTTTAAAGATATATGATAGTAATTACCTTTCCAAAAAACCGTAATCTTTGGTAAGTACAGCCAGTCTGGGGATCACGAATAATTTCCGGGATTTCTTTCTTGTCATCTTCTTTCATTGAGGTCATTTTTAAATATAAACTAAATAAAATATAAATTAAATCAAATAAAACTTTAAATTAACAGCAAGGTTGTAACAATTGTTGACACATTCACAAAGAGAAATTTTCAAACGGCAAATCGTTTGAAATCTTGTTGCTTTGCGTTGAACGGTTCAATTCATATTATTTCAGTTGGTTCAGTAACCAATCAAATTTGAGTATTTATGATGTTAGTTATTATGTTGCCATTATTAAAAAAATTAAATATTTATATTATAGTAAAGCTGCCTGCCATCCACAGACTATCATGATATGCCTCGTATATCATGATAGTCTGTGGATCATTGTATTATAATATAAAAGTAGCCAATATAAAATATATTCTTACATATTTGTATTTTTATTTATATGTTGTATTTTATAATAATCCTTAAAAATAAAACAGGTAACTGAAAAATCTAGGTCAACTAATCATTAACAGATTTGTATAGTCTATGGGTACAATACAAACGAAATTGTATTACAACTATGACCTATAAAAAAATAAAGTTGATTAATATTTTATTGTAATAATTATATATTATCAAGTTCATATTTTGATTTTCTAAAATTTCGATAAAATTAAAATCCTCAATTATACATGTCCAAAGAATAATCGTGAGTCTTGACAATTTATTTAGACTGATATATTAAATATTCTCCAAGTATTCCAGAATTAACTGTGTGTGCAGGTCCCCCTTTTAATTATAAAAAAATGGTGCGTGTACTAATGTACGCGCGTAAGAAGTTGTACTTCTTTGGCTTTCTTTATTTTTTAAAAATATTAAATAATTAATAACAAATGTTTAACGTTAATAATTTAATAATATTTAATATTTAGTATATGATTCAATTATTAATTAATATTAATAATTATTATTATTTATTATTTTATTATAGGTATTATTCATTCAATTTAATAACTACGTATGTTTCATAACCTTTTAACTAAGTAACAATAGGTCTTTGTGAAAAAGCATTGCTAAATTTCTTTAAAAAAATAATTAAAACTCCTTTATTTGTTTAAAAGGTAAATGTCATTATGTTCATTCAAAATTCTTGGCATAGCTGCTAACTTCACGCATATTCTATTTCTTTTTACTTGTAGATTGTCTTATTCCCATCTCGCTCGCGCACGCTATAGTCACACTGACAACTTTGTGTCTCAGGTGCGCGCGCATCGTAAAATTTCACTCTCATAAATTTTTCATAACGCGCTTAAAGAAGTATAACTCCAAAAATGAAAATTTTAACTTAAAAGCGAATACTTTCATTACCAATATCTCATACTACATACAGCAACCATAACCACTTAAACCAATTTTCGGCAATCACGAACAAAACATACAGTTGCTCGTTATAATTTGCTAGGTATATTATATTTCAAATAACATCCTGTGAGCTAATGAAAAACTAAACAGTTGAAGTTTCTAGGGTTGTTTTATTACTTTTGGATAAAATTCATATTTTAATCATTGACTAAACATAATAAATCAGACATTAGCAAAATAATGAAAAGGGATACCACAGACTCATAAAAAAATTATAATATTTTTACGTTGTTTCCTAAACACAATGCAACGTTTCTAAAATATATAAATTAATGTTATATACAATGATGCGATCAATAGATATTTTGCATTTGTTAGTAAACAGAAGTTATTGATAATATAATTATCAGCTTAAGCCTCGTGGGTTGACTTCCTGTACATCTGAAAACATTTAGAATTGCCTCTTTATATCGGCCCAGTAAAATTCTGAATCACTTACTCTTAAATTGTCTTACTGTTCAGTGGTTTTGTGTGAATTATTTTTTAAATTGACAATCGCCATTTTCCTGTAGCGGCAAAAATGTTAATTCAATCATTATGGTGTATTTTATTAACAAGTTTTAAGTGTACGTGTTTTAATATTTTGACGACTGATGAACGTGAGTAAATTTAATTTATTATTGTACTGTGGTGTTTCATTATTATTACCGTTATAACTATTCCAGGTTAGTAAAATTCCTTAAGCCAAGATTTTCTTCGAGAGATAAAGTTGTCTCTGATCTCTTTTTTGTATTGGATGGGAATGAAAAAATGGGAAGAAAAACTCTTTGAAAAATACTAAACTGATATTATTATTGTATAGGATAGGATAAGAATCTTAAAGTTTATTAAAAAATATTTTATATTTTTTACCTATGTTTAATTATCTAATTAACATATATAGTGAAATAGCTGTCTGTTATGTCGAGGGGAGCAATATTATATTATTATATATTGTTGTATTAATATTAAATCATCTTTAATGTATATGTATAATTTACAAACCAGATAACGATTAAGTATGTGCAATATTTTTTTTTCATTGTCTCTTCGTGTATGTTATGTTTGCCTATACGTGCTTGTCTTATTAAAAAAAAAAAAATTCGTTTACCAATGTATCAGTGTGCCGAGCGTTGGTAAGCGTAAATAACATAAATGAATGATACACGTAAAGAATGGTGGTACGTCACAGGGACCGATGCGACGCCATCTTGCTAAGAGAAGGGTTTTGGCGGGTTCTTTATGAATGTTTAATTTGAATAACGTTTAACTTAACATAATTGAAAATTTTGGTTCTATAGTCACTAATAAATAATCTATAATGGTTTTAATCCTGTTTAATACCTGTTCTTCAATCCGGCCACTAAATATGTAGACTAATAATAATAATGGGCTTAAACTACGAAGCCTTGACTATGATAACCACAAAACATATTCGGAAGTAGGATGTTACGCGATTACAACTATTGACTATTTGAAATCATAATATGATACAAAATATTCAACGTATTAAATAATAATTTAAATTAAATATGATATTAGAATTATCGCGCTGTTATTATATATAATATTATTGGATAGACTGCTGACAAAATATTTTAAAATAAAAATATTTATATATCCATATGGTACGAGTATATACAATATTCTTATACTTACTATACATATTTTTACGACTAGACAAATTTAAAAATGCTAAATAAAATATTAAAAAAATGTTCAATCCTGCTATGTGTTATTTTTACAGATTATTAAAGTTAAATATTTTTATAAATTAAAAAAAACATTGAAAATAAATACACACACTAGAATTGATTAAATGTAGCGCCAGCTACCTTTTTAGGCCTGGGCCTCAGATTTCTGAATATATTCATTCATGATCATTTGTCAATCTAATAGGCAAGTAGGTGATCAGCCTCCTGTGCCTGACACAGGCCGTCGACTACGTTCTAATTTAGGCAAGATGGTTTCCTCAAGTTGTTTTCCTTCACCATTCGAGCGAATGTTAAATACATGCAAGGTCAGAAATTCCATTGGTGCACAGCCGGGGATCGAACCTACGACCTCAGGGTTTGTTGGTCACGCTGAAGCCATTAGGCTAAAATTATTAGTCATTAATATTTAATTAATTAATTAATTACACACTTTACTCTGTATTTCCCAAATCACTGAATCGTTTAATGAATCACTCCAATACAATAACAACTCGTTATTCAATTAAATTAGTTCTAACATTTAATCAAAGATATCATTCAAAAGTTTAAACATCTATATATGTATGAATAAAATATACAGATTATGTCAGAAATTGTCATTCATTATACAATGACACAATACGTTTTAGCCAAAGAATTGAACAGTTGACAGTTTTTTTTTTCTTAATGGCTCTGGCACGATTTGCGCATTAGCCAGCGTCAAGTATAGGATTTTTTATAATTCGTGCTTGTCTTTAGAAATTCGACCGTGTCCTCCATGTACGGTGTAAGTACTCGCCCTGTACCGCACAACCCTCCCAAAGGCCGAGAACAAATTTAAATTAAATTAAAACTTGCCCTCGAACCGGGAATCAAACCCGGTACCCCTCACCTAGCTGCCACTTGATAAGACCGCTAGGCTATGAGGCCCCCCAGAGTTGACAGTTTTTAAAAGAATAAAAAAATTAGACAACAACAAAACTTTTTTTCTACTATAAATTAGAAACAAAACAGTAATTACATAATTGAAATATTAGATTTCTTGTGTGGTTTTTATATATACTAGCAGCCCCCGCGAACTTCGTTTCACCTTAATTTGATTTTACTTACCTTTTTAGTAGCTACATAAAAACAACAACATATGGTATATTTTGTTATGCTATCCCTTAGAAACTGTTTGCATTCACAATTGTTGTTTGTTTGTTTTTAGGTTCATCTATGCAAATTTTCCCGTTTTTTTTTCTCCATAAATACCTTTCTCAGGTTAGCCGTCTTGGAAATAATTTCTTAATCTTTTCATATGAAATAAATGTTAAATTGTGTACATAATATTACAGAGATTAACTAAGTGCAATTTATTTTGTTGATTTGTTAATATTACTTATATGCGTCGTTTTGTGTTTGTTTGCATTCGTAAAATTAATTAATTAATTATTTGTTATTCGATAACTTATCCGATATTTTATTATTTATTCTGTTATTCAGAGCGGAGAAGAATCCACCAAAAAAGAGATAGCTAACATCGGTCTGATCTTGAGTTATAAGTGGTGTACCTAACACGACGTTGTTTTATATAATTAGATATAATAGGAACGAGCCTATGGGACGCCTAAAAAGGGCAGTCATCGACACCCATTTTAGTGGGTGCGTTGCCTGCCTTTGAGGGAGTAACTCGTAACGTTGGAGGTCGTATTTCTTAGGGAGGACCCCCCTGTCTGACTAGAATCAATATGATGTTGATGAAATTTGTTTGTAATGTGTTTCAAATTTATCCACCATCAGAGTGCTACCGTTATCCTTTACATCCATAGACTACTCAAAAAAAGCATGCCCATAGAGTACCTACGTTAATTTTTATATATTAAAACACTATTCACTTTTTGTTATCTATTAAAGAATCTTTTCATCCTCACTTATTATCACACTTTACATACATATAACATATTTCCTTTATTTAATTTTATATAAGTAGCTTCAATATAAC